CTGGAGCACGTTTCCTGTTACCTGTTGCACAAGCTGCGAAACACTTCAAAACCTCAACCTGGCTTCATGGCGCACAGCTTTCATCTTCGCCTCACCCCTCCTCGCGCGCATCGTCCCCATCATCCCGGTTCAGTATCATCGGTCCAGATGACTCCATCTCGACAGCAGGAAGCAGGAAACACCCCCAGCGCGACGTTGGCACCGCCACCAAAAGTGCCTCGTTGGTTTCGTTATCGACTCAGGATCGACGAGATACATCTGCTGCTTCATCTGACGAGGAATCTCCTACGGCTCGACAAGCAAAACACGACAGGGAGAGGGAAGACGAACAGGAAATCATATTTGCTATAAATTCATCGACTGGACACATTTACCGCGACCAGTGAGTCTATTCCTTTGACTTCTGTACATTTTGCCTCAAAAATACTCCAGTAGCCTTGCCATTGACGAGCTCTCTTGTGGCAAACTCGAGTTTTATGACCGCAAAGGCCTTCAGAGCCGCTTACAGAACTCTTCACGTCCCTTCACATCTCGTAGCTAGTTACCTACAATCTTGCTCTACTATCACATCAACGAAGCCCTTCACCCCCTTCACGCCTTGCGTACACAGTGTCAAACATGAAACATTCACAAAAGCTGTGTGCCCACAAAGGTATTACTCCTTTCGCGCTTGTTCTCTCTTCATTCTGATTCTTACTTCTGCCCATGCAGTCCTCAATGCCGCCCCAGCAGGATGATGACACGGACAACCCACCAGCAGTCGAAGAGGATGACGGAGACCGGAACTGGGTGGACGAGGCCGGAACCAAAGAGGTGGAAAGCACGCACGCTAGTCGCAATCCCGACCGCCCCGTTATCCCTCGTCCCCAGCGTAAGAAAGTCAAGAAGGGCGCTAATTTTCGCGCCGGGAGTCAAGATTCGCCAGGCTGCGAGGGCGGCGAAAGCAGATTCACTCACCAAAGCAATCAATGAACTGCTGAAGCCCCTTCGTCTTGCTGTGCCAAACTTGGCTAAAAAGTATGGCAAACGCGAAGCAGAAATCATCCGGCGCATCACCAACGCGTCTCGCAGGGTCAAGAAAGTACGGGCTGTAAGCGAGTACAACGCGAAGATTACCTTCCTCATGGAGTCGATGAATGAAGGTATGGGTACCATGAAGCGCTGAGGCACCGCTATTTACCCACCTTCTAGATCGTTCCGTTGGCAATAAGTATACCCTCAAGGACATCAAGGCTTTGGTACGGGAGGACCCCGACATGCTGAACGACATCACGCCAGAGCAACTTGAGCAAGCAATGCAAACTCTTCGAACGAAACGGGACATCAAGGAAACTGGAGTCCGTGGCGACAACGTTTCCGCTACTACCGACGCCGTTCAAGCAATGAAGAACATCTCAGATGATGTAAGTAGTAGCTTTCCCTCGTCTATGTTTGTAGGTGCTAACGTCTGCCGTAGATAATCTCTCTGGAGAAACGAACAGGCGTCATTGGTGCCGCGTTCTTTACACGTGGGCACATGAATGACACGACTACTCCTGTGGCAATGGAGTCCGGCGGCGCTCTCCGATTCTTCACCGACTTGTTCCAAAAGGATGCGGCACAACTGTGCACCCTACTGGAGCTTTGGGCGCTAGCGAAACGGAAAGGTCAGTCTGGCATATCAACGGAGAGGACAATCTGATACTACCTCTTTCGCAGGAACTATCTCGGCGCCAACGGTTGCCCAGATGAAGGTCGAAGCATCACAGATGATCCAGGCGGGACTAGGTATGTGGTCTTGTATTGCGACACTCTTGGACTAAAAATTTTACAGAAGAAATTATCGGAAAGCGCGTACGAATGAATTTCGAGAACTACGGGGAGAAGATTGTTGCGGCCCACAATGTCATACTGCGCTGGCCGAAAGCGCCATTCAAACGCATGTCTCTTCAGAACAACGCCGACACGAGGGTGATCTACCGCGCATTGAAAGACAAAACATGCAAGTGGGCCAAAGTCAACGACACCACTGCTGAAGAGGAGCTTGCGAGGCTGAAGGAGCTGCAGGAACGGGGTGAGATACCTGCTCCCAAGGTCCGAAAGTCGCGAAACGACAAGGGTGTGGGTAGGGAAGAGGACGGCGGCAGCAATCTCGGACGACGATGCAGATTCTGATTCCCACCAGGAAGACGACAAAACTGACGACGAGGAAGAAGATACCAACAGCGAGAAGACTCCTCTTGAGCGGAAGCGCAAGATGCTGACTGCGTTAGCCCATGCTCGCAAGGTTGCCAAGGCCAAGTCAAAGCCGACGAAGGGCCGATCCGAAAAGCCTCCTCGGAAGAAACAGCGACGGCATGAAGGCACAAGCAGCGACGAGGAGCCTGAGGTGAGCAAGGAGCGTCGACGGAAACGGAAGCGAAGCAGTGCGGAGGGGGAGGAACAGAGCAAAAAGCGTCATCGGGGTGATGGTGCCAAGGCGAAGGAAAATGATAATGGGAAAGCGTTGGAGCGTTTGCAACGCCAGATGGGTTCCAAGCTCGGGTCTGGGACCACTGCTCGTCCCAAACCACGGCCAGCATTTGGCAAGGACAGAATCAATCAACCGACATCTGCCCGTGCTGTTGTGAAGGGAAAGAAGGGTGGTCCTCCTGGACATAGGGAGTAACACTTGAAACTCTTTGTAGCGCCGCATCATCCCCTGCACTTGGACTAGAAGTTTTCCTGCCTTTAGATTAGCTATTTTACATTGAACACATCATAATACAATTTGCTTTTTGAGTAGCCATTGTGAAGAGGTCTTTTTGACTTGAGGGATATTGGTAGCATTATTGGCGATAATTGATGGCATCAATTTCCTTTGATGTGTAGGTAAAATAAAATAAACTCCTCATATTAATCAAGTTATATATCAGTAAAAAAATTCCTCATATAGTAGTACCAGTGATGGCATCAATTTGTCCTGACTTCTGACCTGATTCACCTCTTAATCCCTATTATCTCTTCCTGTTAGAAGGAGCAACCCTGGAGTAGTAGTAGAAATTTCCTTATATGGTAGTACCAGTGATGGCATCAAATTGTCACCAGAATAACGCTTGAAGTCATAGTTACTCACTTGATATAAGTGTTGTTGTCCAAGCTAAGTTACCTTATATAGAAATATCACTGATTGCATCAGAATGTGTTGATTCATCACCGGGTATGCAACAGGACTGAAAAAAACCTTTAAGTCCCAGAATTATTGAGATTATTGCAGAATTATTTACCCAATTATCACAGAGTAGGCTCTTGAGACACATCTCTTCCTGTTAGAAGGATCACCCTCATGGGTCGCTCCTTCTAACAGGAAGAGATAATAGGGATTAAGAGGTGCCTCAGTTAGGCGGTCGATTTTCGCCTCGAGTGCATCCAGCCGAGTGTCAGCGTCAGGAGTAGCTCCGGAAGGCATGACAGGTGCGGGGACGACAGGAGTGGCAGAGGAGGAGGGGACAAGTGGCAGGGGGGTGGTGGCGGGGCGGAGTGGACTCGGACTCCGAGCCTGAGTCAGCGCCGAACCTGGCAATCTTGTCCGGTTGATCCCGTAGAGAGTTTCTTCTGCTGTAAGGGCAACCCCGGAGGCCTGAGATCAAGGTCCTAGCAGGGGAGGATCCAAAGAGTGAATAGAAGTAAGCAAATACAAGTGAGGCTGACCTAGCAGGGGAGGATCCAAAGAGAAGAAACTCTAAGGGTCCGCCTGCTAGGTAGCGGAACTATATACTGCGCTCTTGACGCGCCAAGGTTGATCGTTGCTCCGTGCAGTATGCCTGCGCCATGTCGCAGGCCAGGTCCCAGGGGGATCGCCAGGCGGGGGCGGCGATGCGCCTGACGGAGGCGGTGATGCGATCACCGGAGTCGGAACCGGAGTCGGACCGGAATCGGAATCGTCTCCGAGGGGCCGAAAGGGAGGTTCCCCTGACAACATCCGGCTGATATGTCCTTCTTGGCCACAGTTGTAGCAGCGAGTGTTGCGGGAGCTTGGTCTCGGTCGATCTCCATAGGTGCTGGCCCCGTAGTGGGCCCGGCAACCATTGCCCTGTTTTCTCGGTGTGGCCACGGCTGGTCCAGTGGCGCTGATCGCCGCGTTACGGGCCCATCCGTTGAATGGGTTGTGGTTACTGAATCCGCTCTTTGCGGGGGCAGGTGCCGTTGGGGGCATCTTGGCCCGCGGGTGATTGATCTCATGACTCTTGTCAAAGATGGTGGTAGCGGCGGAGCACGCCGTCCTGTTTGATGGCTTCTGCCTTCCAGGCCTCGTAAGTATCGGGGAGTGTATCCTTCCGATAGACTGTGTTTGTAACGGCGTTGGGCCAGGTCTTCTCTGGCTTGGCGGAGCAAAACGTAGCTCTGCATGACTCCCTGCTGTACAGCTGTGTATTCCCCATTTACTCAGGACAGCTCAGCCTCGATGGCCACTTGTCGATTCGCCAGGGTGGTGTTTTCGGCCCTAAGTTGCTCCATCTCCTGATTTGTTCAGAATAGATGGGTGAACAGGCCCAATCCAAACCGTGACAATGGGTGTTTTATGTCCTCCCTCTGCTGCTTCTGGCACCAGTTCTTGCTGCTTTGTCGACCCAGTCAATTTTGTTGTTGCTATTAACCATTTGCAGCGAGCTCCACTTGCCGAAGTTCGCTGGGACCTTTCAGGCTGTATTGCCGACAGCAGTGGCGACTTAGAGGACATAGGTGAGCTAGTGTTTCCAGTCCCTAGCCCTTTTGTTGACCTTATGAAGACTTGTACTACACCACCAACCCAATTAGAGATTACTGTGAGCTCAATATTTAAGCTCAGTCTGAGGAGTTCACTGACATCTCAGAGATGTCTTGAGACCTCAAGCTGATATCAGAGGCATGACCTCCATATGGTGTGTATATGATGATATCTGAGAAATCTTAGCAATGATGTAAATTTAGAGTCTTGCTGCAACATCTGTGGGATGACAATAAATTATTCTAATATATATAAATAATATATGTAACTGTGTTTACTTATTGGCATTAGTACGAGCTCGAGCACGGGTTATGCGTCCTGTATTTCCGAGTGTGACCTTCCTCTTCCCTGGCAGATGATATTCGTCATTCATCTCTTCATCTGAATGATAATGACTTTCATCGCTGTCTGCCTCTTCCAAGTCTGAACCAAGCAGGTCCATGGTTTGCTCCGAGTCTTCAACAATCTCCTCCATTTCTGCTGTGGCTGCTTCTGCTGCAGCGAGCACTGCTTGCCGCTTCTTCTCTGCTAGCTTGGCCCGGCCTCCAGGCTTCTGAGCTGCCGAGGCGAATTGAGTCTCGGCCACTGCTGCATCAACCGCTGCGTCTGCCGCCAATCGCCTCTTTTCCGCCGTTTTAGCCTTGCGCTTCGCGGCGGCTTTTTCCCGATTTGACAGGCGAAGTTCCTGAGCTTGTCGTGCCTTATCGTTGTGGAAGGTTTTGCGGTCATTGTGTAACGGCTTCAGTCGGGTGAAATCGTCGGGGAGAATCCGTCTGAGCTCCATGAAGTTGTGAAAGCCGGCCAGGTTGAGAACGAATCGCTTGTCGTCTGCATGCCTGATAATTTACCGATAGGAATTGGCTGGCACAATCCGCGACGGCAGTCATGCTCAACAGAGCAGCGAATTGGACGTCGTCGGGCTTCACAATGGTGTAGGAAGTCATTCCACCAACGATTTCGGCCCCGCTTGGTCGTCGAATGACAGGCCATTTAAAGTCTGGATGGACGGTTTCGGTGCAGACGAAGCGTTCGAGCAAGATGAAGACTTGCTTTCCTGCAAGAATCTTTGAGACACGGCCAAGAAAATACGACCGGGTAGAATCCAATGCGTAAACCCAACTTGTGTGCCACACAGCATCGCCATTCTTGATCGTGACAGTCAGTGCTTGACGCCATGTGCTTTTGAGAGCAGGTTGGAGGCCAAGGTGGTCGCTCCAATATGGCCCGCAGCCACTTGTAGCCCAGGTGATCAACGGCTGCTGCTTCTCGGATAGCATTCGCACCGTTCCACATTCAACGAGTTTTTGGGAGACCCAGCCGAGATGGCGTGAGCCGTCGACCACAATTTGAAGGACAAGTGGGGAAGCCTGCAGCCATTTCCCATGCTTTTCGTCGTACCAGAAGCCGCCAGTGAAAATATGCTTGACACGTTCGACAGAGGCCAGCTTTCGGGCAATGTCGCGGCTTGGTGCTTGGCGGTTGCTTCGCACAGAGCAAGCACGAAAGATGGCATTGTATGCTTCAAACGCCTCGGTAGAAAAGCGAATCGCGGGGCCAAAACGGGCGGATGTCGTGCGGCAGGTGTGCCAATGGATGCAGCTTAATCTTTATCAGAATTCGAAGAGGGTCGACAGAGTCGAAAGCGTCGAGTAGGTTCGCAATACTGACATTGAGATCTGCAATATAGCTGTCCATATCATCGATTTCTGGTATCCACAGACGAGTACCGAGGTCGGCGGCTGCCAAAACAAGGGAAAACTGTTCCGGAGAACATATTTCATGGATATGGAATACGAGGACTTGCATCAACGTCTTGAAGTGCTTCCCGATCAGATTGTTCCGGTATTGAATCATATATGCTGCTCGAATTGGGGGAATGGATAGCCCGCAGATGTCGGTTGACTGGAGTCGGACAGCAAGAAGGTGTCTATCGCTGTCCGACCATTGTTTTGTGTTGAGAAAATGCCATATATATTTCATAACACCCAGAAGAACAGTGTGCAAGAGTTCTACTGGGGGTATCTTGCGCCGGGTCAAGGCCAGTAATGTCCAGCAATGGGCTCATTTTGTCACCCGGCTGTTGCTCCAACCAGTTCTAGACTTCGGCGGAAATCTCATCAGCTGACTGATCTGGCGCTTGGTCGCAAATCTGTGAGAAGCAGGCTAGGGCCTGGTCAATCCAGTATTGGGCTACTTTGTCCTTAGTGCCAGTTTCGGTCTGAAGCTCTTTGATTGACTTTGCATCCCCTTGACACGCCAGTTTAAGCTGAGTTCCCAAGTGCTCGCGAATCTGATTGGCATTCCGTTGGACAGATTCGGGAAGATGACATGCGTGATAGACATCCGGCGCAGTCTTTTGGATTGTTGTTCCACCCCAAATGCACTTGCAACAGGGAAAATTGGCATTGCAGCCAATATGACTTGCTTCAATCGACTGTTGAGGATTGTCTGCGGGGAGGCCTGGTGCTCTTAAGACGATAGCAGTGGGCTTTTGAGTGTGCACATTGAGACAATGGATGGGATCCGCTTCCGTGGAGTTGATCGTGTCGCGGACAGCAGCGAACTCTTCCCCAGCAGAGGCATGCTGGGAGCTCGACACATGGTGGATATGGAAATCTTGCTGAAGAAGTCGCCCGGGGATGGCAAGATTGCGAACACATGTGATCAGATGTGGGTCATACTGCTTGGAGACATTGCCCGAGGCGTCATCCTGCCAAATCTCGACCATCAAGATAGCAATATCACAGTCTTCTCCATTGGCGGTCTTGGCTTTATCGCGCCATGGGTTGGGCATGTCAGGCACCTCGGCCTGTGCTTGAGGCGCCCACCTCATTTTTTTGTCGGTGCTGTTTCCAAATATTGTGAGCAGCTCCAAATAATCCCATTCGAGCTCACCAACAGGAAAATTGATAAGCGACTTGTCGAGAAAATCCCAATCCCCAGTTGTATTCTGCCCGACTGCTCTGGCATTGGTCCAAAGGACCCCTTGTCGCATCACAAGTGTCAGTGGAATAACATACGTCCCGTTGGCACAGCGTGCAACCTCGTTGATAAAGAACCGTTTATTTCCCCGGGAAAACATTGGAGTTAACTGAGAGGGATAAAACTCTTTCCATCGGTCGGGTTGCCAGCTCTCAGATATCGGAGTCCCGGTCTCAACGTCTTCCGGAAAGAAGTGAAGCTTTGAGGCGATTGCTGGGTTTGCCAAGTCCCGAGCAACTGTGTCGCGAATGTTGTTGACATAGAAAATGTTTCCGTGCATTGATTCCACACGTTCTGGCTCACTTGCGCAGGTGGATTGGAGCGAGGCCTGAAGCTTTCACAAGGCTTTGAGAGTGGGGACATTCGGAACACCAAGACGATGTGCGAAATGGAGCACAACAGAGAGCTGAGCATTTGTGAACCGACACCGGGGCAGGTTGTCAATTAAATCAAGCAGCAACATCTTGTCATAAAGGTCAGATATGACTCAGATAACATGTAAATCTCACCGTTTGATTCGGGTATGGAGATAAGTCTCCATCGACTTTAACGTCCAGCTCATCAACACCGTCATCTTCGTCTGACGTTATCGGATCAATTGCCACGTCTCCTTCTTCCTCTTCATCGAGCAAGTGGCATCTCACCAACGCAGCTAAAAGCAGCCGCTCATACGCATCCCTGATGGTCTCGCCCTCCTCTGGGACCTCTTCAACCTCAGCCAGCATCTCGTCCTCGTCCTCGTGGCACTGCTGACTCATGCGGGCCAACTCCGCTGCGTATTTGAAGGCGTTGGGTTGGTGGTTTGGCTCTGGCTCTACTAGAGGGAACAAGATCTCATTGGGGCCGTGATGCGCGGATGTTCTTGCTGCCTGGTACTCAGCCAGACCAGCTGCCATGTATGCGGCGTCAATCCTGCCAGCCACAATCGTTGCTTGCTCAGGGCGCTGCATCTTGCTTCGAGCACAAGCTTGGTGGGTCTGCGTTCGAAGGTGCGTCTTCACAGTCTTCTCTTGAATCCATTTACCAACTGCACCTTTTCCTTCTGCATGGCAGATTCGACAACGCATCTTATTGCCGTCGGAAGAAATGTCAAAGTTTTGTTTCTCATCTGTTGGTGCGTTAGCTACAATTCACAAGACATTCGTGAGCTGAATACCTTCAGGCAACTGCCAACGAGCTTTGGGCATGGTTCGTGATAAACGAATTCCGGCTCAATTGACTGCACAAAGCGGACAAGGCGCAGTCTTCACAAAACTTGGTGGCATGGTCACACAACTCACTCCTCTTCCTTTCGTCCACATCCTCACCATGTCGCGCTCGCTCGCTGATCTGCAAAGACAATCCCGCGCCGCACAACTGGCACAGACACCCACCCCATCGTCCCCATTCAATCCGCCGAGCACACCAACCTATGCTATAACGCCTCTCTCATCGCAACAGCCAATCCCTGCCCTTTCGCTTGCTCGCGAGCATGCCCCCGATGTCTGTTGCCCAGCGCATTGCCTTCGGAAACGAGATACTCAAGAAAGTCAAAATCAAGAACAACGTGAAGTTATCGCTGGCACGAACGTTTTTCGAGGTGATTGGCACAACACATCCAGAAAGCGCTCTCTGATTCTCTAATCTACAGACCACCAACCCCGAAGAACGTGAGATGATCCAATTCGTCTCTAACCTGGCGTTCCAAGACGAAATCTCTCTCCATGCAGTCCAGGCTGCTGAAAATTGGACTCCTTCGTCAGCCGAAACAGTGGGTCTTGGCGTATATCCACGCAAATCATGCCTGATACCGCTTCTGTTCAGGCAAAAGTCCGCAAGCTCTGTCAAGCACTGGTTCTCCTCCCCAGTCTTCGTTTCTACTCTGGGGCTTTGCATCGCGTTGTCATCGTAAGTGATATTATATCCCTTGCTTCCTGCGCTGACAATATCATATGTAGAAAGTTCTCACTTCACCAACCCGACATGGATTCCCGAGCGAGGACAACGAGGCTGCATACGATATATTTGAGAAGCTTGTCCGTCGCCATGTGACATTGGCACTCTCTGCCCTGAAAACCATGGTAAGCAGCGCCTATATTACGACTTAATCCACCATCTCAATCATCTCAGGTTGCGCAATCAGTCTCTCCGAAGGAGGGGCCACCACTCTCTATTATTCAGCTGGCCGACAAGGTTCTCGGTCTCGCACCTGAGATTCCACTGACACTTGGAGTGCTGCACCGCCTGGCTCTCATCGTATGTCCTCCTGGTTACCTTTTCACTTGCGCTCATTCTCTTTTAGCGTCTGGAGGTTACCAAGCAGCACAACACTCGCTCATTCTGGGACAAGGTCGACGATGAGCTAGACCAGCTTTATGAGCTGCCTGCCAGCGACTGCATTGAGTGAGTTCATCGCCATACTGTCTTTTTGTAATATACTCAATCATTCTCCAGGGGATTCCACATTGGCTACAAGATGGACCGCGAAACATATCTGTTGGGCCCCGAGGAACAGTGTACCCTCTGTGAAGATATCAACAGTGCTTTGAAACAATGGCTGCAAGATCTCAATACTCACGCAAAGAAGGTTACACGTGTAACGGCATCCAGTCGGGGGACGAAGCGAAAATGTGCACGGAACGATGATGGGGATGACAGTGAGGAGGAAGAGCATTCCATTCAGCGTCCAGAGAATAATCCGATGGTGAATGTGGGCCGGTCGGCAGTAGAGGAAGATGAGAACAGGGTTGCCAGTACTACAGATGTGACCGAAGAGCAGCAGTAGAATTCATATTTTCTTTTGTATCCTGAATAGCAAATGATAAATTTGGCAACTATACCGGTTGAAAGTCCTTCAGAATAGATCCACTTGACGGGAAATTGAGTACAGCTTGAGCTCCTCCGTATATCAACGCTCAGTCAAACAGAAGTTATGGTCAGATATCGAGTGGACCTCCATCTGTCAGACTGCGGGTCGGGCCGTGCAAGGACTTCTCCTCAGAACGCGCGCCCGGAACAGAACAGACGAATAGTCGGGCCCGCAAGTACGGCGGGCGGTGTAGATCGAAACCGAAAGGGCCCGTGAACTCGGTCCCTTGTCGTAGTCGGTGGTCGATGGTTCGAATCGGGTCGTGTCGGGCCCGATGAGTCGATAGCGTCTCCTCGCACGGAGTAAGGTAGTTCTTCAGACGATCTAAGCGATAGAGTACAGGGTACACTATCGCGCCTTATATACGCGGGCCCGCAAAGGGGGTGATCGGACACCCTGGCCTCTCCTCCTCCTCCTCGCTCCCGTTCCTGGCCGCAGAGGGGACGATCGCACATCCCTTGCGGGCCAGGCGCTACTCCTGACCTCCTAGCACTCCTCCCCAGTCCCCTGGTGTCGAGTTGGGCTCGGCGACGGCTCGACGCGTCGTTCTCGGTCACGTGCTTCCCACGTGTGCGTTCCTCCTACTGGGGCGCATGTTCCCCGTCGTCACGTGCTGCGTGTTACGGGCCCGCAATGGCCCGACACCAGCGCCGGAGCGGACGGGCCGGGTCTTATCCGTGACACCATCGTCAGACAGATGTCAAACAGATCTGATATTTGTAGTACAACCAGACATCGATAGATTGTCTACACAAGAATGGAGTCAGATATCCTGTGATATTTAGATGTGACCTCAAGCTGATGTCAGAACTGGTTGGTGGTGTAGGAGCACGCTGTGCGACACATCAACTGTGTCGCCGAGGGCACTATCCACCACTTCCAAGTGAGTTTTTGCCTGCATTTTTCACTATTCTCAGGTCCAGGAGCCGTAGTGGTAACTAATTAACAACGGAACATGGCTGTAGCCAGGGGAACAGTTTGTATCAAGCATGGACCTACCCACTGTGGGTAGAACCACACCCTCCCTAGCCTCTACAATGGCAGCGCGGCTGCCCGGCACCGCTCCTAGCCATCAACCATCATCAGCTTGTCGGCGTCCTCCTGTGCCGAATATTGCCCTTGCTCCACTGTCTTGGCGTTTCCTGTCCTACGGGCATCAGCCGTGCTCATCGTCGCATTATGTCGCCGTCACCACTGGGCATTGATCTGCCTTCGCCGCTGCTTGTGGGGCCCACTGTCATCCTCGCTGCTCGTCGCCGCCACCGCTTGTCGCCGCCACAGCTTGTCGCCGCCACAGCTTGTCGCCGCTCCTGCTCATCGCCGCTCCTGCTCATCGCCGCCACGGCTTACCGCCGTCCCCCGCCGCCATCCCTTCACCCCCACCGCTTGCTGCCGTCGCTGTCACGGTCGCCGTCCCTGCTCCTGGCGTCACCCCTGTGCAGCATTTTGCGCCTGGCCTGGGGCAGTGTCGAGTTCTTGCACAGCACGGGCACATGCACTCAGTGCCGGGATCAGTTTCAGCCAAGCAATAGGCCAGACTGGCATCATAGCATGACGTAGCCTTTTTGCGTTGCCCTTGTGTGTGAGTCCACCAGCGCTTTGTCAAAGTTTATTCCCAATGACGCCGCCAGCCTCTACCAGTGTAGCTTTGCACTATCAGTTGCGCTGCCGCCGTTAGCTTTACGAGTTCAAGTCCTCCTGCCCGCCGTTGGCATAGTCGGGATCAACAGTCTAGATCTTTGCCAAGATCAACTCGGGCGTGTTTTTTTCGACACAAGTTCTACTTTAGGGCCGGCACCACCTTAAACTTGAGGGCTTTCTGATTTTCTGTCCGTAGTCTTAAATATAATTTTTTCGTGCAATTTCTTGTGATTGCTCTAAATTTATTACTTTCCTAGCTGACTCCACCTATTTGCCTTTAAGCTTTGCACAATCTGGGTGTGCTGTCTGACACCTCAAGTTCCGGGCACGCAACGCGGTGTCGGGCAGGTTGTCGGTACTGGTCACGTGATTTACATCGGCGCAAATAATCACATTCACTATGTACCCAGCAAGCATCAGTAAGTATAAGCAGTACGTAGATTGGCCATAGGGGAGGTACGTAGTCAAGAGAGTCAAAGTAAGAAAAAGCACCATCAAGGGTAAGTAAGAGAAGTGGAAGACAAGTATAGTAGTAAATGTAAGTAAAGTCCAATGACGAACTCGACTACCCACCAGCTTTGTATGTAGCTTTCGGCTTAGGCCGCAAGCGAATTTTGAATTCTTCACCAGCGTCACTTGCCCGAGGTGGGTCTGGCTCCGCCTCAGACGCAAGGGAAGCTCCCGCTGCAGATCCGCCATGCCCACGCCCACGCCCGCGCCCGCTCCCACGCCACGCCCACGCCCACGGGTTTGCCCTCGTTTTGATGGTTGCTTGGCTGGAGCGCTGCTTGCGGCCGTAGATGTCGTTCTCCGTCGACGACCAGGAGGCTGTGGAGGGTCTTCTTTCTCCAGTTGACTCGTTGACGACTTGGGCGATTGGTCTGGCATATCGAGATTGCTGTTGGGGTCGAAGCCATCCGAGATGCGGTGCTCGATGTCGGGCATTTCGATGTCCATTGGCGTGAGCGGTCGTTCGGAGCCAGACATGTCTGACGGAGGTGGGGGCGTCGGTTGAACAATGCACAGAGGGACATTACTATCGTCAACCTCAAGCATCTGCTGTTCATCCAATGAGGACATATCATCCTCCGGATTGGGGCCTGTGTGGGTGAAGCCAGGAACGGCAGGGTCGATGCTGGAGATGGTGTGGGGATCTGGGATAGTTGCCGTGGTGCTGGAGCCAGAGACCATCGAGCCAAAGGTGGGGCGAGGGCGGGGCCGGCCGGGGCCGGGGCCGGGGCCGGGACCGGGACCGGGAGGCGCAGAGCTGGAGACGATAGAGCCGGGGACAGAGGCGGGGCCAGCGGGGACAGAGACAGGGCCGGGGTCTGGGGGTGCAGAGCCGGAGACATCAGAGGCGGGGTCGGGGTCGGGGTCGGGGTCGGGGTCGGGGTCAGGGCCGGGGCCGGGGACAGAGACGGGGCCAGGGGGGAGAGAAACGGGGCCGGGGACAGCGATGAGGCCTGAGTCAGGTAAAACGATAGAGCTGGCACTGTCGGATGTTGGCAGTGTCTCCATCTCTACATCGCTTTGTGCTGCCGTTGAGTTACGGCCAGAGTGGGCACCGTTTTCGAATCCGGGTTGTGTGGGGTCGGTGCCATGACGCTCGAAACGCTGGCGGCAGCGCGCCTCCTCCTGCTCTTGGAGTGCTCGTTGGCGCAATCGCTCCCGCTCAGCTTTGGCTTGGACCACTGGATCTTTGGCATTTGCCAGAAGAAGCTGGTATCGCTCCTGTTCTTCTTCTTCCTCCCGCGCAAGCCTTGCCTGGCGCTTACGGGCAGCCTCTTCTTTTGCCTCTTGCTCGCGCTGGGCCCGCTCCTCCTCCTCCATTCGACGTCGGTCACCAGGGTTCTTGACAACACGTTTGGGGCGCGGGTTCAGCGAGACCTTGGTGATGCCCAGACCTCTTCGTCTTGGTCCTCGTCGGAGTCGGAGTCGCTTTCATCGTCAATCTCGTGACGCTCATCATCGGGGTCAATGCGATATTGGGCTGCCGATAGAACATCGAGCGCCTCTTCGGATAACTGCTCATAGGTTTCGCCAGGACGGACTTGGAACTGTCCAACGTGGTCGCCATCTGGGGAAGGGTTAGTAGCGTTTAATTTGTCGTTGAAACAACGAACCATAACAGGTTCCCAGGTATTCTTTGAAATGGTTTGAGAACTGCGCAAATTTTGGGGGGTTGAAGTTGGTGAACGGCACGGGATGTGGTGCCAAATTGCTGCCAGCTGTATATCTGTCGAGAATGTTAATTGCACATGAAATAGAAGGAGGACAAAGTTGCGCACACTTGAATCCGAAAGGGATCGTTATTAATATCGGGACGACCGTTCACAGGCCCACCAAACGCACACATGATTTGGAGGCCCGACAGCTTATGGAGCTCGTGCAGAAGGGGAGGTACGAGATCCCGTAGTTCGTCAGCAACCCTAATGATCGTATGAGGCAAGGGTTAAAAAAACAGCAAGAAAGAAGAAACGCACCGTGCGCGGAATGCCGCATGGGTAGGGTAGCCAACCGTTGTCATATGCTTGTAGGCCGCTTTCTCGCGGGCTGCCACGGCTGCGGCTTTCTTGGTGTACTCCTGTTGCTCCTCAGCAGGCAGCGTTTTGAAGACTCGGATGCATCAGCAAAACTACAAAATTCTGCACAAACTGGACGTAGCTGGGGGAAATGAAAGCACTGGAAGCTGTGGGGTAACTGGGCACAAAACATCCAGAATGTAGAAAATATCCAGAATATGCAGAGTATAGTAGGCCGTGGATGTCAAAATGCAATTTCATTTGCGTGATGGTCTATGTACTTATTGACGTGGAAAGCATCGAATGCGTCTAATGAATGGTAATATCGCAAGTCCGTTGGAATGGCACGCGTGCCGAAGACAGGAATGAGGTGTGCGCTGCGTAGCATCGTGTTGAGATGTACAACGGTTGTGAGTCGCGTGCGGCCTTCCATCTGTCGCTTGACCACCCACATCCCAGTCTCAGGGTCTGGCCGCCGCCCAACAGTCTCAAACCATTCAACCAGCGCACATGGGTGATAAACGCCATTGAGAGTGAACGAGAAGAAGAGGCAGACCCGAACAGCACTCAGCCCTGCAAAGCCTGCTGCATCGTCTTTTTCGGAGTCAACGACATAGGCACAGTCACGGCGAACGCGCTTGTGTTTGCCCCACGAGGGCGTACAACGAATTCGCTCCCGTTTCATCCCACGGATACCGGATTGGTCGCTTGGGGCAAAGAAGGTGGCAATGGCAGAGTGAAAAACAGAAAAGCGGATGGTGGAGATCTCCTCGTTCATGTCGTTGTCAGAATTGGAGTCGGCATCGGAGTTGTGGCTAGGTTGGTCTGCCAGATAGGCCTCGACAAGGTCATGGAAGTGCGGAAGACCGATATGGTCGCCGAGGCTGTAGATATTGCGAGGGTATGCTCGTGCTAAGAGTTTGTAAGAATAGCGTAGATGTAAGGGAATCGGTATCAGACCTGCAGTACGTGCCAGCTCAACCGTACCATCCACGCGCGGTATATCCACCGGTTCTTCATCAGCATCATCATCCTGCTCCGAAGTCTTATCTGGGAGAGCCTTGTATTGCGGCGGCAGCATACCCCGTTCTTCAAAGTCGGCCCTCGAAGCCGTAAGCTTGTCCAAACGCTGGTTTGTCAACAGCATCTGTCCTAGAGCTTCATCGACAGCAGTTATGTGGCGGGACTCGGTGATTGAGGAGCAGACGCCATAAGGCACACCGAACTGCTTGATTTCGGAGGCATAGTTAGCCATTGAGTGCTGCCGTGGAAGGGAAAACCCATCTGGACGGACACCTGCTGTGCGGAAAACTTCGCGCTGGCCATGGTACTTGTAAACGGTCGCATTGATCTCTTGTAATGTGGCTTCGTCGAAATCGCGTCGCCGGACAAGGTAGCAGAAGTCCAAGAAGGTGCTGAGTGCCTGGACAATGTCGGGAGGGAGGAGGCCTTGAATTGCAGGAATATACACCTAGTTGGTGTTAGAACAGCACAAGTAAGACGACACAAGGTTCCATACCTTCATGAGGGCCTTTGAGTCATCTCCAGTCCATTGACTGAATCGTCAGCTCATATAGCTGTATCTTTGCAAAAGATGAGGGCTGAGCTGCAAGGCTGTAATGCAAAAGATGAGGGCAAGTGCCCAAAGAAAAACTTATAAGCAATAAAATAATTACTTATAAGCCCTCTGGCGGGTTTTGATTGATGGGATCAGTGCATTTAGATAATATTACCTAATGTGGAACGATTTTTGATTGCCATCACTAGATCTAATGACCAGGTGATGCCACATCAGTCTTACTTAATCTCTGAATTTATTTTCTTATTTCTGCCACATAAGTCCAAAGTATTACCCTACGAGTATTCGGCCTGAAGAAAAGGTGATTTATATGACTATATCAATTTTTAGCTTAGTCATATCTTTCAATTCCATTGAGAAATTCAATAATTAAACCCTGTTTCACATCTTTTGCATTAGAGTCTTGCAGCTCAGCCCACATCTTTTGCAAAGAATGAGCTATATAGGGTGGAATCGTCGACCATCTTTGAAGCAGCGTAAGCCCGGAAAACGGGGGACAACGGCAATACTAAATCAAAGATCAGTCGACACAATTGACACGGCATAGCATGGACTTACCGACGGTCTATTTCATCCATTATACGAGCAGCTTCCTTGGGCGTGTGCTCCAGGGAAAGATATTCACCTACCCAGTCAACGAGATGATCTTTAAATGTCCCCTTTATAAGCTGGTGGAGGAGGTCGGGCGACAGCATTTCATGAATATCAGCCCGAGGGAAGTCATGAGTAAATGGCTATGAATGATTTAGCCTATGGACAGAAAGCAATGAAGACGTACAATAACGTCGGTATTAATCCCGTAGTTCTCCCAAAGTGTTTTCGGATCACCGTCGAAGGCTTGTATATGCTGTTCGGTGAGCGCTTGGCTTCTTGTCGTGCCAATTGGACCATCAAGGTCATGAGCGAGTGCTGTACATCTACAGCGACGTATTAGATGATCCAAGAAATGAACTACAATCGGAGCTTACTTGGGACACCATCCCTGGACGATTCCGGCAAGCTGCACTTGTTCTGGATAATCCGCAATAAATGGACCAAAATCGTAGATGACGCGGCGAAAATGGCCATCGGGGCAGCGTCTTACAACAGGCACCGTCATCCCTGGTCGGAGAGAGGCAAGGACAGCTGCCCAAGACGCATGGTATAGCTGTCGCTTGAAAGTGCGGAATGCTGGGTCATTGTCATACTTTCGCTCGCCTATACGTGTCAATATCTCTTGATGAATGGCTCGATCCAACATACTTTTGGGTATGGCGAGAAATATGAAGGGAATGACGGCCCCTCGGTGAGCACGACGCAAACTGCTATGAAAATTTCCGATTGACGTATACCCTGGGTGGTACGAGACATCCCCAGTCCCAACAGAGACCGTTGTCTTGTCTGCGCCGAAGAACAAGGGGCAGATCATCGCACCCTCCGTTGTAGGGTCGTTGTGAAAGATTTGACTCTACAAGTTGGTCAATAGCCATCCGGCATAACTAAATCAGCCATACGCACAGCATGAGACCAAGCGAAGTTTGCTGACATGAAGTCAGACCAGCGTCGTTGGTCGTTTGCGTCGACTTCGACATATGGCGCAGGGTCAAATAGACCGACAAAATCCGGGTTATCGAGCATGTTTTTGACCACAACGTCAGGGTCGCGGTACCAGACTTCGTAAGACTTTCGAGCCCATTCTGGCGCATCAGCACCGTCAGCTAACGGCTGCGTCACAAGACACTTCCATGGTGCATCCCCAAGCTCCGTGGCGTCGATTGTTTCGTATAGGTGGTCAGCATTGGCAAACGGTGCAATGTCATCATGCTTCAGGTTGTCCAATGCCCAGATCTGGAGCATCTCTTGGATATTCCCCTTGGACATCTGGTCTCTTCGAAACACAAAGTCCGCAACACGGAATTGGACCTCATCGTCATATGGGTTCCAATTAGTAGGGGAGGGCGGTCGACGGGGGGCAGGCTTGGCACCATCGGGAAGGTCGTTGCCGTCCTCATCGCATGGTCGTCCTGGACTATGGTCAGTTTCAGAATTGGAAACCACAAGGGAGGGGACAAACCAGAGAGAAAGGGATGGTATGTCCGCTTCCATCCGCGAGAAACATTCTCATCTCCCGGGCCCCCACCAGAGCCAACATCAATGTCCCGAGATTCTGAAGCACGCTCCTCAGATTCTGGAGAAAGCGGACGAAGAGGTTCGGATTCTGCATTCGTAGGGGGGGAGTCGGCACCTGACTCAAGCATAGGAGCTAGAGACGAGGCCCGCTGGATTTTTGCTCCGCCAACAAGTGTCGGATTACGGTGCTCGGTGCGGGTATGGTTGGTTAGGGCACCTGTTGAGCGGAACCTTCGCCCACAGCCCGAAAATGTACATGGGATATCGGCAATTGTCTGGCGCTTGCCCCGACCACGGTGACGACGAACATCCGACATTCGGGAAGATGACTGCGGAAAGTCAGGAACTGTAAGTGAATTTCAATGATGAGCCTATTGATGAAACGCACAGGAGATGGCGCACATGGAAGACGATCACTCTCCCCTTCCTCTCGTCTTCCTCCTCCCACCATGGACAAACGAGACCGTCGAGAAGGCTTCAGCGACGCTCGTCCTGGAGCCATAGTCAAGCAGGCCACTCAACGCCGTCGGACATCGACTCAGGTCAAGGACGACGACCGCCTCAAGGCCTTTGAAAGGTCTGCGCAGGAGCAGCAAGCGAAGCAAAAGGCGAAGAAACAACTACAAGATGCAGCTGCAGCCGACAAGAAGCAGCGTGAGGCCGACAAGCATCGAGAAGCAAGCTCATCACGACCTGACCTCGCTACGCTCGACGAGTATGAAGCTGTTGTTGCCGCCCGGACAGAAAAAGCCAAGTTGGACAAGAGGATGGACGAGGTAAGGGCTGGTACCCTCCTTGCGCTGCTGACAAGCTCTAGGATACATTCGAGGCCGGAAAAACTGTGTCCATCGACGATATGGAAGGCAACGAGCTGAGCGAGGATGATCAGGACGACAGCGAATACAAAGCCAGCGGTGACGACCTTGAAGGAGCCATAGTGGTAAGATTTAGGCTAAAACCAGTAGGTACGGCTAGGGAACCCTTTGCCTAGAGGATTAGCCCTACCTAGGCAGCCCATTACTGGCCTCTGTTAGAGCCAAATGTGATGCTTTGTAACATGTGTGACACTTTTTTTAAACAAAAATTATTATTCCTTATCTGGTATCCTAGCACCTGTGGCAATGCACCTATCTAGATAATGATTTTATTGTGGAACCATTTTTGATTGCCATCAGTACTTTTGATGGCTATCTCATGATACATCATTTTGTCCTAATTAGGAAAGTTGTTGATACAGGCCTTCCCAACTTATATACCGGGTCATCGGCCTGAAGAAAAGGAGTTTAAAGTATTATATTACATAATTATTAACTTATATATATTATATAATAATTTATTCCATCATTGATATTATTGAGTCAATAGCCTAAATCACTAGGTACAGCTAGCCCTAGGTGGAAATAACCGTGTAGGCAAGCACCTGTTTAGCTGTACATAGGGCTTTAGCCTAAAACTTACAGCTACGGGTGCTTGAAGACACCAATGAAGATACTGCCGTTGTCGAATATGCGGATATCAAGGCCGAGTATGCGCGATTAGGCAAAATGATTGCAGCAGAAGGGAAGGTAAAGACGACAAAGGCTAAAGAGAAGACTGTGAAGGTGAGTTTACTGCTCCAGGTATTTGGTCGAGGACTCACCTGATACTATCGGCTCCCCTTCGCATCCAAATGCAGGAGGCCTCCACAGCCAGCTCGTCCGGGCCCACCAAGCGCAAATCCGGCACAGAACAAGCTCTGTCCGCCCCAAAGTATGCTCTCTCCATGTTTCTACCACATCTCATCGCTCCCGCAGACCAAAACGCCCCAAGAGCACGCCCGGTGGGGTACTCCCAACTTGGCGCAAGACAGCAGGCGTCTCGAAACCCCCTGCCACATCGAGCACATCTTGGGACCGTAGCCTCAAACGGGCCCTCAGCATCATCACTCTCGTCCGCCACCGGTATTCCCAGCGGCGATGACGATCTTCCAGAGGACGCGGAGCAAGATGAGATCGTCGAGAGGGCGGTAGGGGCGACGCAGAAGGGCAAAGTGGGGGTGACGACAGCACAGGTGCGTAGATTGTGGCTGTCGAGAAGAGAGAGGTGCTGACACGTCATCATGAGATGGGTATCACGCTTGTGGAAAAACCTGTCGTCGCTCCCACACCAAAGCAACCTCGCCAGCGCAAGCCTCAATACACCAAGCGGGACCTGGGCTTCACGACCCGGGACCAGCACAGCAAATGGGACAAGGGCGTGGTTCCCTCCGTGCTGAGTTGGGCTGGTACTCTCGACAACCCATTCATCGCAGCAGCTCACCCGGATTTTGACACGAACTTCAGGTCCATCTACGACGCACATTTTGGAACCAGCTTTGAGTTCCATGATGCCTTGTCTTCCATCGTACGTCTGTTCTCAACTGGCCATGTTGTTGCTAACCACTTGAGAGGCTACGAATGCTATCAACAACTGGCGCAGTCAAATCGGCAAACTGGCCATCGACATCGTTGCAGCTGAGCTCAATGTAACTGTCAAAGAGCCCGATGGTGCAGAGCGATCCCGCACCATGGCTGAACGCATTCAACTTGTCAAGGACCTCAAATTAAACGACAATTTCTTGTACAATGACTACACGGATCCAAACCGCCGCGTCAGTGTATCTATCTACTAAGCTCTTTCAAAGTGACTGATATATAAACCAGACCGGTATCCTTCGCTCAAGCATCATGTCGCGAATGATTGCCTACCATGTCAAGCATATCGAAACCGACGATCCTGTGTTCCCCGCAGGAGCCATCGCACTTTGCGCTACTGCGGTATGTATCCCGTCTGTATATTAAAATGTTCTCTAATTCTTCTCCAAGGTTTATCGCGCACTCAAATTTGCAAAATCTGGAATAATTGTCGAGCCCAAGGAGCGCGGACAGGGTAAAAAGAACTTCACCGGTACAAAATGGACGTCGAAGCTGGCGCACTACTTCCAACGCGTCTCCTCAAATCTCTTAACTGAGCAGAAGCGGGCCGACATCATCGCTCACGCACTCGCGGTGGATCAACTTCGACGCCGATGGCTCCGATGACAGTGACGATGCCGAGGATAGGGTGACGACTAGTGAAGGGGATATCATGGGTGGGGCGTTGATAGACGTGTCCGACGATGACCACGAATAAGATATCATGGTTGCTACTACTGGCAAACAAATATTTATTCTGTCTTCTATTTTTCGGTCCCCACCTGTGAGCCATATAGTATTTGTGTCTAAAAATGTTCTGTGTCTACAGCCCATTTTGCATGCAAAAACCCTTCTGGAATGTTCTGCAATTGGTTGGCAACTTTGCTTCCAAAACAATTCTGCGCAATTGGGTGACCTGGAAGCCCTGTCCCCAGGGCATCCCATTTCATGCAAAACTTTGTAATTTTGCTGATGTGGCGGCCATATTTCTGTCGTTGATATTGACGGGGGGGAAGAGGCGTGCCCTTTCGCTTTTCCAGATCCTCTCGGAAACGCAAAAGCTCTGGAAGGACCCGGTCCTGATAGTGCTCCTGGGAGAATTGCTGCGCGCCGGTGAGGGCTTTTGCTGGCGGTTTCATCGACTTCATGTGGTAAAAAAGTCGTGTGAATGGCGCATTGTGGTCGACGGTACGTTTGGCGTAGGCGTTCGTGGAATGTGTCGCATGGTATCGCAGCCAGTTGTGGATGCTCTACAAGACCGGCGAAGGGGAAAGACGAGGGAGGGTGGGAGGAAGAGGAAAAGAAGCAAATGCGTCAGTGACGTGTCATTGTCATTACCCAATGATGTCACTCACTCGATTCAAAAATTCGATTCGCGCCCACTTTTTCTTGCTCTCTGCGGGTGTCAGGACCTCGTTGACAATGGGAGCGTTTTTCGTCGTAGTCCGGGAGGCTTTCGGGTTCTTCGTCATCGGCGTATCTCCATGGAACTCGGGCATGAAACTCGTTGCAGATGCGTTGTCGACATGCTCGTTCGGCCCGCCAGCCTTGAGCGACCGCGTCCATGTACTCTTGCAACCGCGGACGAAGAATTTGATCTTCCCGGCAGCCTTCTGCCCAGAATTTGCGGTTCTTGCGCTCTAGGGTGCTGTGAGTAACTCTGGTTTCGAAACGGTTTCAAAACCGGTTTCGAAACACATGTGAGTTTTGAAAGCCGCGGCCAGCTGACCCGGTTTCGAAACTGACACGTGATGCCCCGGGGAGCCCGGGCCCGGCTGTCAGGGCTTGATGCCCTCCCAATATCACCTGCACTTACTGGCGGAAGGCCGGGCAGATGGGTTTTCATGGCAGTGTGCTGCTCTAGTTGGGCTTGGCACATAGTGTGCCTCGGGATTGTGATACCCGGCGCTGTCCCGAGCTGCCGACTGCCAGCGGACCCCCCCGGCCGGCCGGTTTCGAAACTGTTTCGAAACGGGGGGTGTTTCGAAACCGGTTTCGAAACCGGTGTGAGTAATGTTTTTTGCATTACTCACAGCACCCTATTGCGCTCAGCTTTGAGCTTTCTCTGGCGTTTCTTTTTCGCCATCTAAACAACGGTCAGTCAAGTGAGGATGGCGGAGGAATGTCCGACTTACGACGACCAAACAGTAATATGCGCGTTTATCGAGGACCCACTGCCAGCGAGCAAAAAGGCAAAACAGGTGCGACAAAAACAAATGGGTCCGTCACGCGCTGAGGTTATAATGAATGATTCGAAGACAGTGTAACAATGCTGTCCTCTTACACTTGGTCGAATCAGAGTGGAAAAATCAACGTGATAAATAAGGCCTGTTCCCTTGTTTTCATCAAGCCCCGACAGCTACCTGCCTCTGACTTGCAAACCTCTGATGGATAATGCCGACGGTGTGCGTAGACTGCCTTGTCCGAGTCCGTGTCCTTTCTAATTGCCCTCAGCCTCATGCCTTGGCTGTTGTGTATGTCCCTGTAGACCGCCCAACGCCAACTCGCACGCTCATCGCCAACAGTTCAGCGTCTCATTCAATCCAGGCTAACCTCGCGCAACTTACACATGTGTTTGCCAAGAGTGGGCTCACCTGTCCGCGCTGCTTGAAGCCCTGTGTGCGTATTGAAAATCAAGACCACGCTTTCACATTGGTCCCCGCATGCACCCATGATCAAGTGCCACCTGGCCAAGGTGATTTGCCGGCCAACATGGCAGTCAAAACTCTTATCCCTGGGCAACGCCACCCGATTCTCAGACCCCTCCTGGTTATGAAGCACGCGCTCACCGCCGTGCATGCGATGAATGCTGATGTGGAAATGCTGAGTATTGCAGCTGATGAGATGGAGCTTGTAAACGAGATTGTCCGACGGTTTGTCGTATTTTCCTGGAACTCTAGTAAGCTCTGACGTGGATACAGCTAGGTTGGACACATGAATGTGGGGTAGTTTCTTGTCTCATATGTTTGTAACGCCAGTGCTGCTATCAGCCTGCATGTCGCAATAATATCTTTGGCGGAAGATCGACAAGTGCTTCTGTATCAATCAGTGATAGTCGGCAACCTTGTACGCTGACAATGACACAAGAGCTGCCAGATGATAACAGAAAGAAGGCGTTGTCGGGTTTCTCGGTATGGTAGGACTCGGAAGATGTCAGAGATTTGCCACTTAGCCCGGGCCCCGATGACACTCAGGGATGGCCAAAACAAGTTGGTTTCAATTACCCTATGCCAGTGGTAGCGGCAACATCAAGACAATTGATTACAAGCTAAGTTAGCGCAAAGATTCCTGCGAGCGCTTGCGACGTGATAGTAATTCTCTTTGATACGCAGCATCGAGCTCCAGGAGTTGAGCGTCCTCTTCGATGATGAGGCGCCGTAGTTTGCGATTGTATTCTCGGTCTGCGAAGGCTTCAATCCCGTGCAGGGCGATATACGCACTGAGAACTTGAAATAGTAACATTGTGCATTCTGTAGAGAATAAAACTCACCGGTTGCGAGCTTCTCTCTTATGGATAGCTATCTCAGCTGTGTGGCTTAGGATAGTCAGCTCACCATAGAGTGCAGGGGGATTGCATACCGTTCTCGATACCTTCGACTGCGCTCTCGATCTTTTGCTCGTTGGCTCTCCAAAGTCTTGTTATCGAGGGTACCCAACCGAGCTGTCCGCAGGCTAATCAGAGGACTGAGCAAAGTTTGAATCGCACAGACATGGCATACCGAGACATGCGTTCTGCAGCCCTGAGATTTAGCTCATCCTTATTCCTAGTGTAACGCGTTGAGCGAGCACGCTAACCCAATGATAGCTACTCACTCTTCCCGATATTTTTTGGCTGCTTGCCGACGGGCCACGATGCTGGTTGCGGGACGAAGAGTTGTGGCAAGACAGGGCTTCGGCGGATTCGTCGCAGAGACGGACATGACTGTCGGAACGAAGTGCCAGCACAGCATTTGACACGCACACGGCGATCAACCAGGCCAACGTAACGTGAATGTGTCAGCTTATTTGGCTGTTCGATGCACGCCAGAACGCCCCGCATGCCATGAAGAGATGTGATGAGCTTGTGTGTATAAGCCCCAAGGATGGTAAAAGTGGAAGAGCCAGGGTGGGTGGCTAAACGGTAGTTCCTATTGATAAAAGTCCTACTGACTGGTTGAATTCGGCTGGACAAACTACAAAAACACCGTCTAGCATTCCATGAAAGTATGCTATGGCAGCGCTCTGACCAGAATAGACCCAGTCCATGCAGTCCTTGTGATTTCTTGAAAAAAACTGGGGTATAATATGTGAAAATGTTGGCGGATTCAACCGAATTTCTAGGATGAGACACTGATTTACTGTCGATTCTGGCAATGAGCTATCCCGAGCAAACAAAAATGTAAAAATTCCCAAAATATTGTCTGGCATTACCTGCTACATATACTTTTAGATTATGCAAGAGACCGAGCCATTCCGATTGGAATACTGAACAAGGAGCCGTCCCTCGTCTGTTGGACCAGGGGCATCACACATCATATTTTCGGGCTCACGTTCGCCACAGGCAAATCTAGCATCGGCACACATCTCAGGAGGCTTCTTGGCACACTATGCACTTTAGAAGTGGTCAAAGACGATGGCTTGCACAGAGTACAACATATACTACTGACTACGACTACGACACATAAATAGATAACAGAAGAAAGGTGACTTTGCGCCGGTTTTTTTTTTGTCGTCCCGCAACGGCCCGTTCACTCGGTGGGCAGGTCAGCTCCAGCAAGAGAGCGGAGATTCACGAATTCGATTTTGACTTGACTGTCGTCCCGCCATTGAGGATAACGAAAGCGTACGGCCGCTGCGTGCAAGCGATTGAATGCGGGGCAAGAACTGGGCGAAACCGTTTGCTCAGTGCGACAGATGGGGCAAGCAGTTGTGAGCTCCATGTTTGCGCGAAGACAAACAAAACAGAAGATGTGGAAGCAAGATGTCCTGTAAAGAGTCGATTAGATCAATTGACATTGTCGAAATGAAAGACATACTTGACGGGATGCGATAGAACTTCGCAGCAGATTGAGCATGCGAGATCTGGGTCAATGACCTCAGTATCAGCGGACTCGGGAGCTTGTTGTTTGGTGAGGTAGGCATGGTTGCTAATCCAACGCAGGGCCGCCGAAGGTCGGTCGTCATCTCGAGCCGCCTGTAGGAGCGCGGCGACCCGTGCGAGGATGCGCTCGCGAGCCCAAACACGACTCTGGGCCTCTTCAGCTGCATTGAGAGCAGCATCATCGTGCTCGACGGCCAGCCGGGCGGTAACGCCGGCTCGAGCAATCAGTGCAGCCGCCGCGAGAGCTGGTTCTCGGGGGGGCGGGGAGATAACTGGACAAGTTGCTGGGGAGGGGGACCACCCATACCGCGGCGATGCTCGCGCAAATTGCGCAGGGTTCGTTGAGCTAGCGGTAAACACGAGTGAGAACAGCCAATGCAGTAGGGTGCGACAAACCTGCATCCGTGTACTCGTCGGCCTCAGTGTCAGAGTCCCATTGAGCGAGGGCCGGGGGCAGACAGGTATTGGCTGGGGGAGGAGGTGTCGCCATTGTGACCTCTGTCTCATCATCGCTGGTCAAGTCCGGCAAAGCCGCCGCCCGGGCTAGTGCGGGCCCAAGCGGAGGAACTGGACTAGTTGATTAGTGATAAGTCTAATCGGAAGAAGAAATACGTACGAATGGGAGACTCCGGCGGGGGTTGGGAACATGTCCGCATCGATAGGTGAGGCCGAACGTGCCGGCGTCGGAAAGGAGTCCGCATAGATGGGAAATACTTTGTTGCGTCCCGGGGTAGGGGTGCGGAAGGCGTCCACGTCAATAGGCTTGAGCTTGTTGCGCCCAGGTGTCGCGGGGAGGCTGGTTCCCGACATAGTGAAGGAAACAGAGGGCCCAAGATTTTTGACGGAGTAGGCATTGGTCTTTTTGAGGTCGATCCAGAAGTCGACACGAAGCTCCATTTGGATGGGCCCTCAGACCACATGTGCCAGGGCAAGGCCCTTTCGGAGACACTCTGATGTCGCAATGATGGTCGTTTGGAAGAAGAAAAAAAGATGCAATCCAATGTGACGTCACGTTACCACTGATGCCTTCCTCGTCAACGATGGAGCAAGTTCAGCCCCAGCCCCCCTCAGAGGCGAGCACGCGAGAGAGCCGCACAGGCCATATTATCAACACTGGTCAGCCCAGTGGTTGGTCTGTTAATAGCACTAATATTCTTTAGACAATCGGCCTCAGGCTGAGCTACAAGTTGGCGAACGATACGTGAACCACGACTTTCACGCAATAAGCAGGATGGAGAGGGCTCAATTCACGATTAGCTACGATATTTGTTGCCAGTTTTCCCACAATCAGAGGCGTCAATGAAGTGTATTGCATATTGTAAAAAAAAATTGAAAACAACAGCGCCAATTCCACCCATCTCAGTACATTGCGTCGGGGCCCGGCGACGGAGGACAGCCAGGGAAGTGCTGGCCCTCCTCTATCTCGCCCGCCACCTCCGGCGCCAGGTAAACATTGCCCCCGTCGAGCGCATGGAGGAGGGTGATGTAGGTGATGATGACATCCTCGACAAAATCTTCCTCCGCCCGGTCGATGTTGCAGATGGGATATTCGGTGGGATTGTCGAGAACGGGCCCAGCGCGATTCTGCTTGACAATAGCCAGGCCACCACGAACAGTACGCAGGTCAGAACGTTGCCGCTTGCGAAGGAGCCACGCAATGGATTTGTTGGGCAGGGAGCTCCGGGGAGATGGGCCGGGGATTGGTGTGGACAGTCGAGCAAAACCACATAGGCCACCCCCAGTTCTTCGTATGCATAATACCCGCGAAAGCAGTGTTCGCAAAAGCCGGGTGGGTAATCGAGGGTGCGGTAATCGATGAAGGGAAAAGCGCGCGGAGCAGCTAGGTTGTATTCGGCGCGATAGTACATGGGGCGGGCATCCGTTGGGCCGTATTCGCCGAGGATTACCGTCAGATTGTTGTTGCCATCTCGAGGGCGCACGGGAACTGGCGCAGACATCGTGCTGTCCTACAGAAACATAGGCCAAAACCAGCGCAGACATAGGAATGACTTACAGCAGGCACATCCGGAGCCCCAGCAATGTGAGCGGCGAACAAGACGTTGGGCGAGTCGAGGGCGGCTTGGAAGGCAGCAGCAGATGAGGTGGGCATGATAGAGGGAAAGAACAGGATTTCGAGTTTGCCCAAGTTCAAATCGCCATCGCAGGTTATCAGTCTGACGACCACATGTTGCTAAGCAAAAGCCAAGTGTTTTGACCGTGTGGTGCATGGTAGGCCAGGATTGGCCAGGATCCGGTTTGGTGGAAGGAAGGAGGCAGTGCTGTCACTGGTCATGTGTGCCCACGTGAATGACGACACGCTGTGACAGTCAGGCCCACGCTTGGCAACCAAGCCACTATCAGGTTTGTGGAACACCCTCCCGTTCTTCCCTGACTAACATGGGACGACGAACACGGGCAGAGAATCTCGGTGACTTCCACGACAGCACCACTAGCTCCCACGGCGACCTTCATACCCACGTCTCCGCTGACGGGGCACGTCTCTTCAGTCGAACTCAACAAACTGCCCCCCAAAAACGCCATCGCGGAGTTGCTGTCAGTGAGGACGACGAGAGGCTGGCAGAATGGATCCCAGTTTCGGGTTCTGGATTGGACGACATGCGTGCGCTAGCAGATACCATCACGTCCTACGATGTTAGCCCGGACGAGGAGGAAGGAGAGGGGGATACGGCGAAGAGGCGACGGTATGCCAGCTCGGTGAGTGTTGTGTTCACCTATCCAGTAGTCCACTTAACAATAGCAGGACGATCCCATGTCAACTTGGCTTCCCTACAGCGAATTTTACCTTGACGAGCTTTTTGCGTCGAGAAGGATTAGGAGATTTTCTCCATGCTCCGAAATGTTCGTTCTGCAGAGAATGTTTTGGGACGGATAACTGCCGGATCTTCCAATGCAAGCAATGTGGTGGCTTCCTGCAATGCGGAAAATGTGTGGTCGAGCAGCACATGCGTTGTCCTCTGCATACCCTGCGAGTGCGTCGTATATATTCCCTCTTGAACCCATCTGACGTGCTCTAAGGAATGGAATGGCGTTTATTGGGACGATATTTCGCTCCAGTCCCCGAAAGAACATGGCGGGTTGGGCCTCGTCTTCCAGCTGGGGCACCACGGCTTTGCTTGCCAGAATCCTGGGCCAGTCAAGTCGCTGGTTGTCATTGACACCCGCGGCATCTTCTCTCTTCGTATCCGCCTCTGCAGCTGTGAATATGGCCAGCGGCGCAGCGATCCAGTACAGCAACTCCTCGCGCATGGCTGGTATCCGGCGACAGCGATTAATCCCGAGACTTGTGCGACATTGGAGGCATTGGAGCTCTTTCGGCTGCTCAATGTCGTCGGCAACCTCAATGCGCACGACTTCGTCGGCACCCTCGAACGACTGACTGATGCGGCGAACGTGGGCAAGGTTCCTGTGAGCGTCTCCTTCTCCACTTCCGGTCTTTTAAACTCATGACTACCTAGGATCGATACAAGACATTCATCAGAATTGCCCGCCAACATACATTCCTTACGACTGCGAAGCGTCTAGGGCGCGCTCACGAAAAGAACGGACTTGTGGTGGAGAAGCGCGGTGGTTTTGCATTACGTTGCTGGGCATGTCCCGATGCAGAGCGTAATCTGCCTGAAGGCTGGCGCAACGTTCGGAAGAAGGATGCGTGCGCATGCTTAGCTTTAACTAGATTAATTAACTGACGCATTACAGCTATCTCTATAAGCTGATCCTTGCCGTCGACGCGAATTTTCGCCTTAAAAATCGAATTCGCGCCAACGCCCACAAAGACCCATCTTTGATTGCGGGACGGGGTTATTTTGTCGAAAGCGAGGCCTACAAAGCTCATCTGAAAGAGTATATAAACGAAAAAGATGTGAGTACTATCGTCAATTCTGTGTATCTTGTTGACGCAGTTGTAGATTAGCACTTGTGTAGCTTTTGCCGCGCTCCTCCAAAAGGACACCCGAATTAGCACTGGGCTTCGTGTTTCAGGGGCTGGCGGGTGCGTATGCGCCCGACATGGCCTACTACGACCCCAGGGTATTGGAGACCTACAGAAGGGCGAGCGGTGAGTGCCAACTCGTAGATTATACCTGTCTAAATGACTTCAGATATGCCAATATGGATTTTATTGTGCTCTCTGCGGTACAAGACGAAGCCGTCGAATCGTTAGCGTTGTCCTATGATATTGGCTGCCAATGGAGTGTCCACCTACCCGAACGCGCGACTCGTTTGAAGGACAGTGGTAGAATGGCCAAAGATCTCAGCGGCTTCAAAATGCAGTTTGCTCTGCCGGTTTGGCACGCGGCGGCACACGAAATCGGCTGTCGTACGGCAAATTCGCTGTCGTATCAGGTCGGGGTTGGCAAGACCGACGGGGAGGGAATTGAGCGGACGTGGGCGACACTGAATCCGATTGGATGGTCCACGAAGGAGATGGGTGAAGGGGCGAGGCAAGACGCGATTGAAGACCGGCTTGACCATATCAACTTTGAGAAGAATCGCGGCCAAGGTAAGCTTCCGATCGATTCACAAGCCCCATACTAACGGATTTCAGGCAATACTCTGGCTCGAAAGCTCATTGTGGCTCTGGCAGAGTCAGCACGACAAGACGAAGAGTTCTCCGAGCTTGACGGGGGAATCGATGCTCCAACCAGAGTTCTGTGGAATGCAAAAGTGCGAGCGTGGTTAGCGGATTCCTCCCAACCAAGCCCTTACCTACTTGACGGAGCGAAAGATGGTCAGTCATTCCTAGCTTCTGACTCTGATTTCGCTGACGCAGGCGTATACGGGGTTTTTTTAAAAAGATCCCTTGTAATTAGAGTATTAACATTTTTAAAAAACATCAGTGATTTACAAGTTTCACCCTCATTTTAATAGAATCCACGCTGTCAAACTCCGTATCTTTCTTGGCACCTTGGCATCAACATTTTTTTTCGTCTTTTTTGGCCTTTCCCCTACACAGTATTTTCCCCATACTTCAGGAATTTTCCACACATCAGGTCCTGGGCCTTATAGCTACCACACTGCCCACCCTGACATGCACTTTTTAAACCTTTTTTTGATCTCTTATTTTCCTATATAAAACCCGCCTTTTGGCAGGGGCATAAATTAGAGGCATTTTTTAAAAACATTAACACTGGTAATAAGAAGACCTTTTTAAAAAAAACCCCGTGTACAGGTGGCTGACGGGAGACGATAGGGCAGCAGACGCAAAAGTCGATTATGGAAGAATTGAAGATGGCGGAGCTTGAGGACGTTCGAGCCGGGAATGCCCCATTGGTAGAGGGTAGAATGACCAGTGCGGCTTTCATTGAGGCCGGGCTACAATTGGAGGCGCAACAGTAAGCTCATTTGTTTCCATTAAGAGGCAACTAATTCATCTCCAGACGTCGCATCATCGCCGAAACCAAAAACACCACTCTATTAAACGCTGATCGCTCCAGCCAGATACAAGAGCGTCGCTTCGCATTCTTCCGAAAACACAAAACATTCCTCCGTCTTCAGCTCACTTACATGCCCGGCGTTGACGATATTCGGATGGCGGACGAGGCGGAACGCGACCCCGATGCTCCACCACCAAAAGCTGAATATGTCAAGCTGTACCTTCCATCGCACATACCTGCGGAGAAACGATCAAGCGCATGTGGTCGAGGGGTTGCGGAAGCTGAAATAAAGCTTCGTGTCGGTCAATGCGGTGATGCGCTGGCGGAGCTTCGCGCAGCGCTGAATACCCAGACCCACCTTGTCTATTGGTGGAATGAGAACTCCGTGGGACAACGATCCTCTACGCGGTCAGCATCGTTGATTAGTCGTGTGGGGGAGGCTGTTGCAAAAGCCGCGGCCAAGTACCGAGATGCGCAGACGGCGCTTGTCGCGCTCCAGGGCAGCAACTCCGCACCTCAATTTCGGCCTCTCCTTGACGCAGACATTAATGCGCGGCCAGGGGTCGAAAATGACATCGAGTCGCTCAAACGCTTGGCGACTGCCGATTCGTCACGGGTCGCGCGTAACCAGCCCTCGGAAGCCGCTTTGAAGCGGACTGTGTCCTGGATTTGGACCACGGGTGGATCGTCAGCATCCGATCTGCACGACTGTACGTCATGCTGCTTAGCTTATTCACTGCCCTGCCTGATGCAAGCGTAGCTGTTCGTGTCGACTGGTCTAAGGCGAAGGCTCGTCGTGACAGATGGCGGGAGGAGGTCAACCTTGTGCGGGAAGAGATGAAGCGCGTCTTGCGCTCTCTTCGCTGGGAGCAAGACCAATGGAAGAGTCGGGTGGATCACCGAAGCGATGAGCAGGGTATCTCCGACGAATTGAAATCAGGCTTACGTGCTTACGCATGTCGCCAAGCCGAACTACATCGACGGATGGGCGAGTTTTTTTTCGCAGAATGGAGCAAATCCATCGAGGCCGCACTGGGCGGATTGATGCGGAATTTATTGGATGGTGGTGAGGAGGAACTCACAGTCGAAGAGAACGATGGAAACGATGAGGAGAGGGATTGATTGTTTTTTTTACAAATGCCAAGCGTTTTGTCTACTTGTGGGACGGATCGACAATGCCAAGTGCAACGCCAGGCCCGGGTGAGCCCATGTCCCGACACACGCTGGGCGGGCACTGGGTCCAGTGAGTGGCGGGCGGCGCGGGCGAACGGACAGGCGGACAGGCGGACAGGCGGACAGGCGGCGGGCTGTGCGGGCGGGCTGCGGTAGATGGCCATTGATTCACAAAGCGCGCAGTGATCCCGACGCTTGGCGGGCACTGGGCAGGGAGGGAGCAAGGTGTGTGTGGCGGGCTGTGCGGGCGGGCGGTGGTAGGCATCGATCCACGCACGTGCGCGGTGCCTTGGGCAACACCATGCGCGGACGGCGGGGCGGGCGGGACGGGGAAAGGGCGGACATGTGATACACCCTGTATCATCCTGAGGAGTGATGTGCAGACGGCATGATGGCGCCGTTGAGCAGCAGTCGGCATTGTCAGCCGTAGGGAGGTGGGGGTATTGTGTTTATTATGGGTCTACCCACAGTGGGTGGAATCATGGCTGATACAATCCATTTTTGTGGGTAGTCCCATAATGATTTGATTATGCTACGACAACGGGTGGGTCCAGTCTGTCCAGATTACTTCACCCGCCACTCCAGGACTTGTTACCGAATGCTACGCGGCCTTCATCAACGCTTGCCCCACTCCCTCTTTCCTTGGGTCATTCATCCACCTCACATTGGAGTCGGGTGTCATCCATCCGTTGAATCAAGCGGTCGCAGCTGAGCGTGTCACTGCCTTAGCGCGCTCTCAGCTTAAGTAGTGCCTCGTGTTTTAGCATGCAATCTGGTATGACCCTGATTTCTTCTATAATCATTCGGTATGCTAATGGTTGCCATTGCCATCTCCTTTAGTTCTGTGCTGACATATCCTCTTCCTGCTAGCGGCGCTTATGTGGTTCCTCCATCTGTTGCTGCTCATGGTGACCCTCTTCACTATTGCTATCCAACAGTGCCTATTCATGCACCAATGGAAAGCTCTCTTCACCCTATTCCCATTTATGACATTGGGGTTCTACTCATCCCATTTACCCGGTTCCATTCGGCCCTCCAGCACATGCTCTAATCTTGCGCCCAGCCTTTACTGCATCATCTCACCATTCTACTCAGCCAGCTCTACATTCCAAGGAAGGCTGGATTGACATCCACGGCAACACCATTGACGTAGACACACCTTGTCCTCCAAAGTGTTCTATATAGACTGGGAAAATAGCTATGATCATCTGCCTTGTTAAAGTGTAGAATAGCAAACCCCAGTCTTGCCGGCTGGATAATGTCAGCACCAGACTGCCATCACCAATGCAGAGCATTGCGAGTGTAATATTCTACTGACTCAGTTCTCCAGAACCTACTGTACTATTTAGATCAAGTGTCTGTGAATTTTTGAATTTTTGGACCCAAAAATTTTGTTTTGATTTAAGGCAATTTTTAACAAGGAGTTTTTTTTGTCATTGTAACATGTAACGCAGATAGGGATAGGCATGGATAAAACCGTGGATACCGGACCCCCTACCCATATCCGTATCCACATAGCCACCTATCCGTAATCCGCGGATACGGATACGGATAATCCGGCGGATCGGCGCTATGTGGCATCATATGTCCTGCTTTAGCAAGTTGAACTAGTTTAGTTATTCTGTTTCCAAGTTCCTAAATTGTGCTTGGCTCCCGGCACAAAGTCCTATTTGTATCCATATCCGTCCGGATACAATCTGTGTATCCATCTGGATTGGCCCAATCCGTGCCCATCCCTAAATGCAGACACTTGATCTAAATAGTACAGTACCAGAATACTTCATATAGTATAAATAGCTATATGCCTGTTTATAATATAGATTGTAGAATAGAGTACTCAGTTGGGCATGAAGGAGACGACTAGATTATATTGTACCTATACTGAACAATATAAGTATAAGAAGAATGGGTAATATAATGGGGCATACCTCAGTTGGGCACAAAGGAGATGACTGAGGTATGCTCCTGTATGTGCGTAGGTATAAGTATTGGATCATAAAGGAAACGGTAGTAAGGGGAGGGGGAATATCGGTGTCGATACACGTCCAGGAAGGGCGCGCCGGCTATATGGCCAGTTGTGCCTATCTCAACATAGATTGGTTCTCCTCTCTTTTCTTTAACACACCTTACTATATTTGAATGTCCTGTGACTACAGAGAATGACAGGCACAGTGCGGAGTTGTCGCTCGGAGCGACAAGTTCTCTGGAGTGACAAGTTGTCGGTGAATGACGTAGCGAGACTTTGGGGCAAAAAGAGCCCACATTTCTCGCAAATGTCAAAGAAGCGCAGAGTTTCTCCTCGGAGACCAGTTTTTCTTCTCGGGGTATTTACCTCTTTTCTGACTAGTGTCACCCTAAACCAATATCCAGCCCAATGTAGTAGATAGTCTTGCCAGTACAATAGTCGATAACGTATTCGGGTGCATGTTAGGGGGCTCCTATCGAAGTATATGAGATAGTCAAAAGCCGCCAAATGATTTGATTTCGAGTAGCGAAAAAATACATTAACATGTTACAAAGAAATGTTTGTAGAGATCTAGACAATCCAAGACACGCATTTCTCAATGCAGCAGCCCTTTGAGGTTAGAACTTCTGCAATAAATACAGTGAGCTATTATTCAGAGTTGACCTGAACGTAGACGTACCAGGGCCTGTTCGACGGCGTGAGACTCGAGCGGCGCAACCACCTGCACGATCGTCTCCATCTCGTCCAGCCGCTTGCACCACGCATCCACCGCCGTTTTGACATTCTCGTCGGACGCCGGGCCCACCTGCATGTGCGCTATCGTCACATCGAAGGAGTCGCTGGCGGCTGCAACACGCACTGCGTCGGCCTTGTGTGTTGCAAGCCAGACGGCTGTTGGCGCCCATTGCCAGACGTCGTGCAGCGCAGCGTGCAGAAGAGTCCGGGAGCATGCGGCCCAGCGCCGGAGGTGCGCGAGCTCGGCGAGCACCGCGGGCGACGTGTCCCCGGGCTTATCCGGCTGCAGATCCTTCGGAGAAGTCGGGACGCGGAGCGCCAACAGCTGCGGGAGCTGGGCGATATACTTGTCAGCGGATGACAAGAAGGCCTGTCGCACAACGGTTGGTAAGCCCCGATGCGGGGAAGGGAGAAGGCACAGACCTCGTATGCATCTTCATCATCGTCGCATCCAAGCTCAATTATCGTCAGCACTCGAACCGCCGGTGCGTATGAAACGACCGCTGCGAGCGGCTCGGTGTGCCACCCTTCCACAAGCATGGTGCATGATGCCAAGCTGGCGTTGTTGACAGACCGGAGGACGTTGCTTGCCGCATCTGGGATAAGTCTGCAATCGACAATGAGATGCTCGATGGATGAATGCGGCAACCAGCGTTCAGCGAGCGTCGACGGCCCCACGAAACAGTTCAGGCGCGGGAAGGTGAGAGGTTCGATTTCCGCCGCATCAGCAGCCGTCAATAGTTGAGTCGTCAGGCGGGGAGAAATAATGAGCGTCTGAAGCGTGGATCGGTGCTGTTCAAGGAAATCGCTGGTATAATGCAGGAAGTACGGGAGAGTGCAGGACCGGAGGCGAGGAAACTGGACACCGGTAATAAAGACGAATAGGGAGGGTTCGGCGCCGAATGAGAAGGTTTCTAGCCCCACCAGATTTTGGAGGGCACAGATTATCTGCAGACCGATAGGCAAGGGTAATTTGGGGCAGTGGCTTGCTAGTGCTTTTATATCCAGTTTGACGCTATGGAGGAGTGAGTGGTACGAAGGTGGCTTATGGAAAAGGTTACACTTCGAGCTCCCTGACAAATCTCGCACAGCGAGGTGCATCCGCGAGCGTCGTGAGGCAACTGGCTGTCTGCTCGACATTGTTGCTGTCGATGGCGAGGCTGTGGTATAGGGAGCGACGGCAAATATCGGCGAGACGTGTACTGGCGAGACAGAGCGACGCGATGTCGTTCTGCGGGGCGAAGAGCGAGATGAGCTCAACGAGTTCGGTGGGTAGGTCATCCATCGGTGATGAGGGAGAGGAAGCGACGCGCGCGCGTCACATGTGGAACAGGTTACAGGGGCACGCCCGGGCCGCGATCATCAGCTGAATGAGACAGTCGCGGTAACGTGCACCATACCCATAGACCCAGCTGAGCCAGCGCGTGAAAGCTATGGGCAGAACACCAGTCTGCTGTCCCCTTCTGAATGGGGCCCGGCGCGTCGTCGTGGAGCGGAGTCAAGGAGCGTGAGACCGTTGATCGGCGCTTCGATTGATGTCACCACGTGGCGCTTCTCAATCCCACCTTGCTCTTGACGACCACGACGGGCCCAGCGCCCAATGGTGCGTGGGCATCCTCTGCAAGGACTATCCTAATCCACAGTTCTCTGGTACACCGTCGCTTTTGCGGCATGGCATGGCAGAAGAGCCTTTGAAGAGCCTGAAGTAACTCGACCCCCCGACTCGACAGGACTCGACCCTAGGTTAGCTAACTCTTCCGCAAGGAAGTCAACTGTTTCCTGGACGCCTTCGCATATGAAAACATTAACAGGGCTCAAGGCATTAAAAGAACGAGGAGAAGAACGTCCTTCCATGATTCGCTTTTCGGAGTTTTTTTTCGATTAAAAGGCACGTGACCATCGCGCACGGACCAGGCCGATCGGAGCGGTTTCGCCGCAACGCAACTTCCGGTCAGGTTTAGCCGCACAGACAGCAATCAATGGCGTCTAATTCGACAACAGGCACGATTGAGCACGACACTGAGGGGCAAGGTCCTTTGCCCCTTTCATTAACAAAACTATTCACTTATACAGTTATACTTAGTGAACAACGACATTGCATCCCGTTCCTTTCTCCTCCCCTCCCGATGCACCTCCTCAGGGTCCTCTGCACCCTACTGTTCGTCCTCGCCGCCGCCGCCGCGAGCCTGGAAGAGGTTGCGTTGCTTTCGAAACGAAATGCCGCCATTGTTCGCGTAGCGCCGACACGAATATGGGACCGTGCACAGACCAACGCAATGCGTCTGCAGGCGGGGCTCGGGCCCCGCGCGCCGATACGCCGAGGGACGGGGACAGATAGTGTGTGCTCATATCATCCAGCCGGCCGAGGCTGACAAAATCGCGTTGTTAGCCGCCAAACGTATCACCACCTCCGCGACAACCAATATCCAATTTGGCGTGCGCATACTCGATGCTGGCAGCGGCGGGATCAGTGGATACCTCCGAACTAACGGGTATGTCCTAGAGCTTGTTCTGCTCTGTGCTGATTGCGTCAAGCATTCAGTACTACGTGACTGAGTCGCTGGATAATGCGAGCCCATTTTCGGCCACCGTTTTCGTCGAGGGCATAACGACAGGCGTCACTATCAGGAGCGAGGTGCTGTACACCCACCGCAACCCCCCCCCCTTTCTAATACCACCCTCCTCAGAGCATCGGCTTTCCGTACCTCGCCGGCCTCATGGAAGGCGGCACCGCACTTCTCGCCGACAACGCGGGCTATGCCGTACTCGGCGGCAGCCTCTTCACCAGTGCGCTGCCGACGCCCCTTCTCCCATTGAGCTCATAGCCCGCAGCGGACCCAGGGGCCGAACCCGGCGCGCCAAACGGCGGGGGGACGTCCATCTTCATGTGGCAGTATGCCACCGCAATTTGGACGTACTCCGCGACCACCGGCGCGGTCGGCGCGGCGTGGGTCAACAATTTCGGGTACCCTGCCCCGCCGATCACCATCCTGTGGGATGCGGTAAGCGGCACGGTGTACCTCACCGCGGACCCAGCGGGGCTTGCGGTCGCCTACCCCAACACGATTCCAGTAGTGCGTCGCTTGCTTGCTGCTTATTTTGCGTACTGATGCCTGACAGACATTCGAGGTGTTCCCGCTGGGAGCCTGACACGACGACAGTGCCTAATTTTAGACTAATTAGTATTCCACGCCCGCATTCATTACCAAATACACGTTCCTTTAAACACTATGGGGCCAACTTAGGTGGGAATACCACCCTTCATAGGAGGGCTTTCCTCTTTTCACCTATTTTAGGCAGGTTTTAGGTGGTTCGTATAGAGCTTATTTCTGTGAAGGTTGTGCAATAATTTTTTTCAACCTAAAATTTAGGTGGTTACTTATTTCCAAAAAAGTCAATCAACCTAAATAGGTTGCTATTTAGGTTGAAGAAAATATATATATCTAATAAACCCTATTTGTCATAGTCATACATCATATTGTTAACCTACTAGTTTGTCTTTCTGATTACTGCCAGTGAAATGCTGTCAAAGACCCCCCATTTCAAATCTACCTAAGTAGGTGTGATTTCCACCTATACTTGACAGTATGTTGACATAGTTAACAGTATCAGTAGTAGCTTATATACTTGTAATTGTAAGCATATCAAATTATAACTTGTGGTAAGATACAATGTCAAAACATTGACATTGTCAATGTAATGTTAAATACTTTGACTAATATATATATTTGTGGTTTAGCACAGTTTTAGTAATTAAGATACTAAGTCTACCACTGGCAGTTCAAGTCCCCTACCTGCCATATTTCAGTTATTGTAAATACTCATAAACTATACATAGTCCTGTATCAATAACAACAATACAATCTGAGTAGCCTCACAACACTCAGTAAAATACACTAGTAATTACTAGTATACTTTCTTTTCAGTACTGATACTTGAAAACAACCTAAGGATCCACCTATTTCTCCAGGTGTAAAGCTTAGATAGAAAGTGGCCTATTTAGGTGGGCTTTCCACTACCCCCATAGGTTGATTTACCACCTTAGAAAACTATGTGGGTGGTATGCCAACCTGATATAGGTAGGATATAGGTGGTTCCATAGGTTAGAAACCCACCTGCTGGGCCTCCATAGAGATTTCCCTGGACAATTATGTGTGTCGCTCTGTCTCAGTCCCCCGTATTTTGGGGAGACACATCTGGTGTTAATTTAACTACTACCAAGGGCTTGGAACATCTCTGTACTACGGCACATCAGCTCGGACACCGCCATCTCGCGCTTCCACCACGGCCCCGAGATCGCCTGCACATCCATGCTCAGCGGAGCCGACTTGACGCCTGCCAGCTGCGCGTCGACGAGGGCCTTATTTTGCGACCATCATCGTGTCTGCGGTATTGGCGTCTTGGACGTGGAGCCACAGATCGGGCGCGGACATGAAGTGGCTCCAGCGCCAGCAGTTGTTCAGCGTGACGGACAGCAAGGCGGGGCACAGCGCCGACCAGCATTTGAGGTGTGCGAGTTCGTCCATCATCGCACGCATGTCGGGCGGCGGCTGCGGCTCGCTGATCATGCTGGCCATCCGGTGGGCGGAGAACAGGCGCAGTGTGGATAGGTGCGGAACATGGACAATGAAGCTGTCGATCGACACGAGAAAGTTCTGGTATTCCGCGTCCTCTGTTGGCTCAGTCTTCGCGTGGAACATTGTGAGTACTTGAATGCTCGGTGCATGTGTAGCGATGGCCGACAGGAGCGCGGTGTCCCAGGTGTCCACCATGACGCAGCAGGTCGTCAACACCGACGAAGGGCCCGTCAAAGACCCGATCTGGCGCAGAAGGGCCATCGTGGGATCCTGCCCGCCGCTGGAGTCGCGGATGTCAAAGGCAAGATTTTCCACGACGGAGTCGCGCAGCCAGTGTTGGCCGACGAGGGAGCCACTGGCAGCGGCCAAACGGGTGAGCCGGGGGAATACCATCGGCACAACGGCTCTGGGCGCTTCAGCGTCGTTATCGATCGTTCCCTTGCATCTCGACAAACTGAGATATCGCAGTGTCAAGCGGTGATTGCTCAGGAACTCGACGGAGTGCGGGGCCAGGTAGGGCAGGGTGCATGAGTGCAGCCGAGGAAAGCGGAGACTGTGGATGAGGACAAGGACGTCCGGGAGCCTGTTTAGATGCAGAACCTCGAGGTTCGCCGCGTTCGTCAGGGCCTGTTGGGTGTGCTCGATAATATCCGGGCTAAGTTCTTGGAGTTCATTCAGGTCAAAATGAGCACTATTGATCGTGTCAATCTAATCTTCGGACGACCAAAGGAAGGGCATCACAATTTGAGCTCTCGGACCAGGTCGGCGCAGACGCGGGCCTCGGCGAGTGTCTGCACACAAGCGATGGCCCGCGCCGGAGCGGCCCCATCGATGCAGATCGTGCGGTACAAGGTGCGCCGACACACCCGCGCAAGACGGCGGGAGGTAAGGCTGAGCGCCGCGGAGGTATTTGGCGGCAAGGACGACGAGATTTGCTCGATGAGCTCGTCGGGGGTGTCGTCCATGACCGTCAGAAGCAAGGTGTGGAGTAACGGCTGTCACGCTGATTGCAGATCGCTGTCACGCTGATTGCAGATCTGCAGATCCGTGATTACCTGACCTTATCAGTTCTCGATCAACGGCTGGGATGAGTCCGACTCCCATTGGACCAGAGTCTCTCGGCGAGCTTGGGATGCTGCCTGCCCGATCCCGTATCCTGTACTTATTTTCTGCACGCGAACCAGGCCAGTGATGTTCATAAGCCCTTAATTTGGGGCTCCAAAATCGATTAAGCCTTAAGTAAGCCTTAAGCCCTTAAATAAGCCAGCACTTAATTGCCTAAAAAGGAAATTTTCAGAAAGCCCTCTGTACAGCTACAGCTAATGATCCACCACAATTAGGCTGACATCATGCTCTCCCCTACACACATACTGGAGTTACCAGGCTGGGGCCCGGATACGCTGTTGTATAGTGCAGGATTTAACTCTGGATTGAATCCTCATTTCAAAACAGCTGTTTCAAAACACTGTTTTGAATTCTTCCGGCAAAAAACACTTGTTTTGAAACAGCAAGGGTGTCCCCTGCTAGGACCTTGATCTCAGGCCTCCGGGGCTGCCCTTACACCAATACTATTGATGAGCCTTTGGCTTGTTGTTCTTGCTTGGTCTTGTTTGTCCATATCTGGTAGTTGTTCCTGATCTCTACCTTTATGTGTTCCTTAGTTCCTATATGGTTCTTTATAGTTCCTGTTCCTGTTTCTCCTCCTAGCTCCTAGTCAGTAGTCTATATAAGCTTGTCTCTAGTTTAGTTCCCATATCATATAGTTTTCCGCCAGAGTTCATAGTCCAAAATCCTCCTCTTCTCTTCTTCTAAGTTCCTCTTAGGCAATGGCATGAGTAAACCCCTGGGTATCCAGAGCCTTACTCATACTCGTACCTGCACAGCCACCATACCCATACCCATGGGTATAGGTATGAGTAGTCATGAGTATGGGTATGGGTTTTACTTATGGGTATTGTTTTACCGCAGCGTGGGCGAGCGCAGGTAAAGACATGGCACCGTCGGTCGTTTTTGTGTTCGATCGTCGGTGGCCACTTGAAAAAAGCATATGCGGCCGATTTCCAGCTCTTTGAAAGCCGTTCTATACCCTAGATAAGCTGACAGACATTGTGAGTGGGCGGAGGCGCACCTAGCTCTTCGTCAGCTGTTTCCTTTCGAGTTGGCTCCTCTCCCGCCTCTGCCGCCGCTGCCGCCGTTTTCTTCCCCTTACCCGGGCCACTGACGACCTGCACCTCGGCCTCGTCATCTGTCGAGTTGTGAATGCACAGCGCTTTCCTGATATCAGCACCGCGGTATTTTCGCTTGAGCTTGCCATTGACATCATATTCCTCGATTTCGGACGCCTCACTGAGGTTCAGCTGGTCCTCCTCTTCATCCATCACGCTTGCGCGGCGTGGCTTGGAAGCTATGCAATGATTAATAGGATTTTCTGCTATAATCTAACAACCACGCACCAGATTTACTACCTGCTGGCTGCTCAGCACCGCTCGGCGTCTTTGAAGCGTTGGCCGCACAACCTAGCTGGAGTATTAGAGTTAATCAAGGCTTAATACCGAGGCCACGCACCTTCAGTCGTCCCCTTGACAGCACCACTCGGCGTCTTTGCAGCGTTGGCCGCACGACCTAGCTGGAGTATTAGAGTCAATCAAGGTTTAATACCGAGGCCACACACCTTCAGTTGTCTCCTTCACAGCCTTTCGACCTGCCGCTTCACGAGGAGTGTCTGCGACCAGTCGTGGGACTGGATATGGTGCAGCTTTGCGGGCGCGTTTTGGTTCAGAAGGTGTCGGGATGGTGGGTGATGTGTTGAGCGTTGTAGATGCCGCTGAATTGGCGGCTGTGGCACCCACAGAATGCTTTCGCTTGGACGCAGACATGAGAGCGAGAGCTAAGATGGAGAGATTGATTGCACGTGGCGATCGATCTCAATTGTGGCATGCGGCGATCGATGGATATATCACATCTTATCTGATCTACCCATGGGTTATGCACCCATGGGTCGGCGGGTAAGGATTTTCCGATCTATACCCGGACCCGCGCCAAGTAAAACCCGCGTACCCGCGCGGGTATACGTTACCCGTGCCATTGCCTACTCCCTCTCAGTTGTGCTGTAGCCTTTGGCTGCAGTTAGAGCAGTTTGAAGGGCTCTTGCTTTTCTTGTTCTTTCTCACACCAGTAAGCCACTGAAGAAAGATGACAACAACACAGATGAGGCTGTCATTGGTACCTGGCAAGTAATTAGAGCTGCACTCTATTAGGTTCAGGAAGAAAGCCTGACTGTGATGCAGAACACAAGGGTGTCAGACTGCGGGTCGGGCTGCGCAAGGACCTCTCCTAAGAATGCGCGCCCGGAATAGAACAGACGGATAGTTGGGCCCGCAAGTAGCAAAAAGCCGCCCACTGCCGTGTCCGAGCTGCCTATCCAAAAAGTCCAAGGGCGATGCTCGATAATGAAAGCACATATGATCAGTACCTGGTTATAGTGGTCTTTTGGCCCAGTTGGATTCTGTGTTAGCACTTCTATACAGATTTCACAACAAGATAATATAGCAAAACATATAAATTATTGTTCTAAACATTATCTATGACCTGTAGGTCAACCCAGACCTGGTTGAACTTATACTCAAAAGGGGCAGGGTTTGTTAAGGTCAGGGTCTGCCTTTCAAGACCCAGACCCAGAAGCCCTAGTGCCAACAGTAATGTTATTAAAGCTATCATAATCAATATGAGATAGAGGGTAGAGGAGCAAAGGGTACAACAGGCTTTAGATCATATTCAATGAAACATGCACCTGGAACAGAACAGATACTGAGTCAAGTTGAGTTGTTATAGCCTAGTGAGTCATTGATGCCTTCTTGTATAGAGAGAAATCAAGTTAACCTTACCCGGTGGAGTCAGGTTTTAAGTAGGGTCAGGGTCTGAGTCAGGTTAAGCAGACCCAGATCTGTACCTGTGCTCTATCCTACAAGTGGTAAGCAGTGAACAGGAAGGGGAAATTCGCAACAATATAGTGCTGATACTATTTGAGCCAGGTCAGCCCTAAAGTAACAAAGTTGATCTTTTGTGAGTATTTCATGTTCTGTAAGTCAACTATTGTAAATTTTGAATAGGTTTGAACTGAACACTTACTCAATCAATAAAGCTCTACTACTATGTGCAATATGGAGTCATTTGGTTGACTTTAAATTTTAAGGTCAATTCAATAAACCTTGACTTGTAGTGAAAGTCTGTGGTTTGGTAGTCAAGCATATCAGGGTTGAAATCAAGTTTGTAGAACTTTAAAGTACCTTTCTGACAAAATTTGACTTTTCATAAACAGCCCAGAAACCATCAAGTAATTGGGTTAACAATCTGATGACCAAAATGTATTTTATAATAAAAGTCTATGATTTTATATACAATGAACTTTATGTTGAATACTAGTTGGTAGGCCTATTAAATACCTTCCTGCTCATATATACTGCCCTATTTCGATCAAGTGTCCGGGCATGTAACACGTAACACAAGGTGTCTGGACTACCATAAATGGCAACTCTGGCAACAGCCGGAACAAAAAAAAATTGCCTTTTTAAGGCTGTTTTAATCGCAATCCGGCCCCGAATGCATAACGAGGACCACAGGTGTCTGTGCCGCAACCGCCTGTAATGTGTAATGCAGACAGGTGATCGAAATGATACAGTAACATGTTAGGAATGGATAAGAACGTATTGAGATATGACCCTATCACTGTTTTGAAAACTCAGGGTTGGGTCAGTAATTTGCATTTTCTGACTCAACCATTGACTTTAAAGCCTAAGTCTAAACTGAATAGTAACATGTATTAAGGGTCCCTACAATCTGGTAACATTTATTAGAAATTTTGTGTAAAGTCATTACAAAGTTGTTATCCTATTCACGCTGATTATATAGCTGGAGACTGAACTTGTAGGGTCTACCCAGAGGTCAGACCCTTAGGGTTGACTTGAGGGTTGACCCTCAAGTCACTGATATACATACAATATCTCTTACAATATCTCCAATATATATACTGATAGTTTTAATCGCAATTTTTGGCATGAATAAATTTGAGATTTCAACAATGATTTCATTGCACTGTAAACCAACAGTTCCAGCAGTGGAGAAATGCAAATAGAAACAAAGAGAATCTATGTGCATTTCTCTACTGCTAATTTCCTTTGTATCATCCATGCTAAAACTGTCAGTGAAATCCTTTGTTTTACTATCAGTTTCACCACATTTAATACACATGATATCACAACCAAATATATGTGCACAGATATGAACCATTTCAGGAATGGTTTCAGTCCTATAGATAGTTTTCATCTCAGACTGCCTAAAACTAGTATATATTTGACTAAAATCATTCTCAGTTTCAAAAAGGTATATTTGGGGCAAAACTCCACAGGTTGATTTGGTTCTAGATTCTGGAAGAATCCAAAACAGTTTCTACTTCAAGGGATATTTTACCAAATCTGGTGTGAACGGTAGAGGGACGACACAAGCCAGTAACTCGTGCCAACTCGTCGGATCGAGGTGAAACGAGTGGGACACACTGCATCGGCTTGACTTGCACCCCGGCAACACTATCGACGTCCGCTCGAATCAACGGCAGGAACAAGAGCAGTGACTCGGATGTAAAATAGTACAGTATGGGGGGAAGGTCGAGAGCGTCGAGTGGAGTATTCGACGCGACTTGGACGCGCCCAAGGCCGCGGGGGGCATCGGGACACGTTGACAACCATCTAAACCGCGCGCAGGCGGGATGCGCGTCGTCGTCGTCGTGGCAAGGAGCGTGAGAACTCGGCTCGGATCGATGCGCCTACCGATGATGATCGGCCAATGAAACGCCCGGGCCATCGCATCACCGTCAGGGCCATCGCGCCGCCATCACGTCGACGTCATGCCACGCGGTGCATCGATCATTTCATTCCGCGCGTCACTCGTCATCCCCCTTGCCTCCGCCCACCATGGACTCCTGGGTCTGGCCGCCGACGTGCCCGCCCGCCGATCCAGAGGGGAACCCGCTCCTGGCGCGGTACATCGCACAGCTACCACTCAGCTGCGAGTACCAGACGCAGAAGGGCGTCTGCATGTATACCGCGTCGGTCGGCCCGCCCTTCGAGGTGGGAAACATCGTCGTGGCCAACTGGTCGGTACCCGGGGCGGACGCGGAGTGTCCCCCCGCCAGAGACTTTGCGGGCGTGACGCGGTATCCGTGCGTGTTATTCGTTTCTGGGTTAGGCGGGACTGACGCTCGAGTAGCGGGAATACGTCGGCCCAGCCGGAACCATCGCCCTCCTCCGTCCCTGCGAATTCCTCCTCAACGACACCGCCGCTCTCTCCTTCCCCATCCACGGACGCAAGCCAGTCCAGAGCCTCCCTCCCCGTTTCTTCAGAGGCATCGCTGCCCGCTGCGTCATCCAGGTGTGTGATCTTACCAGCCCATCCGAATCCTACCTAACCCTTCACAGTACACCAGCCCCCACGTTCACCTTCCTCTCCAGCAACAACGCCGCAAGCAGCCAGCCGCGGCCGCCCATTGGCGCAATCGCCGGCGGTGTCGTCGCTGGCATCGCGCTCCTCGCCGCAATCCTCGCATGTCGGCGCAAACGCATCCGAAACCGACGCACCGCTAACTCCACAGGTGTCATTCCCGCCCCGCACTTCGTGAGCTCCTCCAGGGCCTCCTTCGACCCCTACTCCCTGCTCCCCGACACCGCCTCGACGATTGCGCACTCAGATGACGCCCCGCCGCCGTCATATGCGCTCGCACACAGTCCCGTCGGCGGCGGCGCGGGTGATGTCAAAGGGAACAGCCCTGGTGCCACGGGCGGATGGCCGGAGGAGAAGAGCCCGGCGCGCGTGCGCGAGATGGAGCGCGAGCTGCAGTTCGCGTATCAGTAAACCTGTGTACTTCGTATCTAAATACGTATCCTTCGTTGTAACTTGTTGAGGACGAGGCCTGGGGCTGCCAGTGGTAATACATGCCCGTTCGTCGCGGGCTCGAGTTGTTTGTGCTCGTTCATGGGAAAGACACAGGTTTGTGTTTTTTTTTTTTTTTTTTAGGGGGGGTCAGGGAAATAACAGCATTGAAATAAGACCGTTGAATTTGCATCTGTTCTTTCCACAGAGGGCACAGGTTGAACCTTGACACCGTTTCAAATGTTGATTGTGGAATATATTCATGAATTTACAGGTATAATGTGCCTACGCCATTATCATGATTAATATCATCATACAATTTGTCATTATGTCATATTATTATTATTATTGGCATTATTACAATTATATTATGCCTGGGGCCGGAATGGCAAATATTATATTGCATTATTATATTATTATTATGTATTCCTAACACATGAACTCTGGACAAAACCAGTTTGCATATTAACTAGCACTACTTCTATTCTTGTCCACTATCTGTGGATGGTTTTCTTGCTCATAGTGATAAGGCTACTTGTTACCCGTTGGCGATAATACTGTCAGTTCAAAAAGACTTATATATTAGACTATGAACTAAATTACCTACTAGATAGAGTAAGAGGATGTTCAATCTGAACAAATCTATATCCTCAACATACTATTAATGTTGTAATGTAGTCACAATCTTCCAAAAAAAGGCAATCACCACAGACATGTGAAAGAAAAGCCTAAGTATAATCCAACAGAGGGATTTGGATAAGCTACGATTCTAGAGCATGGCATGATATTGGTAGTACTGAACTATATATCAACAACTCAGGTTGAAAATGTCAAAAGTTCGTTGGACTTGGAGCAGAATCATAATATAATTTGATAATATTTCACATTATTATTATTATATTACATAATAATATCATAATAGGTACCATACTATTACATGCATGACCCTCACAGCCAGGCTTCCTTCCTGAACCCAATGGTGGCGTACCACTCCAGCTCTAATTGCGGGATACAGATGTCGATCACCTGCAGTCCCGGGCACCGTGCGACGAGCTGTGCTTGTAGAACGCGTGGGTTCGGGACATCTTCGTCGGCGTCCCCGTCATCCGCATCATGCGGCGGCTCCTCGGCCCGGAGCAGGAGGCACACGAGCGGAGGCGGGAGGAGCGATGGGAGGGCGGTTACGACTGTTAGAGCCTGATATGTGCGTCCGAGTCAGCATTAAGAAGGCGCGGGGAGGCTGACACACCAAATCTGTCGTGGCGCGGGTCAGCGCGAGGTCCAGCGTGAGCGACACCAGCGCCGGGAAGTGCGCCAGGACCGCGGGCACCAGCGGCCCGCGGGCCCAGCTAACTAGGGCGAGCTCCAGCTGCGTGATCGCCGCGGCACATCCGGGCGGGAGCGCGGCCAGCGCACGCAGCAGCTGCGGCGCAGGGGTCCGGCCGTGCAGCCTCAACTCCGTGACTCTGGCGAGCGGGAGAAACGCGAACGCCGCCTCGAAATCGGCCTCCAGCTCGGTGAGCTGGGGAAAGAGGACGGCACGGGTTGGATGCGGTGGGTTCCCCACAGCGGCGGCGGCAGCGTGCACCGGAGAGCCATTGATTTCCATTGACTTGACTGCGGGAAAGGCGGCGGCGAGGAGCGGCAGGAGGGCAGGGAGCTCCGCATGGGCAAGCGGGAGCATCAGGTATGCGACGTGTGGGAAAACCGGCAACGTAGCCAGAGCATCGCCAGTTAACTCGGGGACAGAGGCTAGGCGCGCGCTTTCAAGCGTGGAAGGCAACATGCAGGCCAGCCAGGGACGACGTCGCCGCCCCCACGGATGGTGAGGTCAACCACGTGCAGCACGGGAAGGCGCGAGTTGTAATTTACGGGCAGGACTAGCATGCAGTTCGAGATCGACAGGGAGAAGCCGGAGATGTGTGAAAGCGCGTCAATAGCCGCTGGTGTGAACGGGATCCGCTCCGCCTGGAACGACCGCAGGTTGCGAAATGACGCAACCGCGGTGAACAGCGGCCCGAGCAGCGCATGCGTGTCCCCATCGTCGTCGTCGGCAAAGCAGGCATCCGAGATGCGGAACATCGTCCGCTGAGGGACGGGGTAGGTGCTGAGCCGGTTCACCCGCACGAAACGCACGTGCGGCGCAATCAGCTCCGAGCCAAACAGCGCCAGCTTGTACAGCAGCGGTGTCTGCTCCGCCGCGTCCGGGCAGCGCAGTACGCCAACGTCGTGGTCAAAGGCATACGGCCGGAAGTGCATCGTGGTGAAGAAGAACGAGCGGGCGAGTGCGCAGAACGCGCGTGAGACGAGGGAGACCCTGCGAAGGTCCGCCTTGGACAGGTGCGGAAGGATCTCGAGGAGGATGAGCTCGTTTGGCAGCATTGTGGTGGTCGTTGGGAGGCAAGGGTGTTTGACGTGGCAGCTTTTATGATCTGCGGCTATCAGCTGTCGGCGCTGATCGGAAATCCACATCTTCACATCGGGAGTCGGCCTGGAGATGGTATTGTGTTTGTAGAGAACCAGCACAGAAAATGCAACATAATCTGAGCTTATATAAAAAAAAATAGCTGATACGGCAGCATGAAGCCTTTAATCTTAGATAAATAACTTGCAGATGAGACTCACTGTGTTGAGACAAATTACAATTGTTATGGAAATATATGGGCGGTCCATCTGGGCTGTGTTACCAACCACATCAGATACTAGTACTCAGTTTTGGCTCATTTTTTGTTAGGAAGGACAATAACCAGATTCAATTTGTTATCATAATGCGCCATGATCTGTAGTATTTTACTCAATTCAAATGCCAAAAACGGTGTGAGTACAGCTATCATGCTTCAGTGGCACTAATCTCATGATGTTATTATCATTATGGTTCAAGCCAAACTCACAAAGTCTATATAAAACTAGCTTATTGACTTGTACCACTTCCATATACAATGTATGTCCTGGTATTAGTGCTGGCCAGAATTGTATTATAGTTGACTAAATATTCAAAATATTCAAATTCAAAATATTATGAATATATTATATTATGTCATGACTATACTATATCATAGTCAGAAAATATTTAAATATAGTAGGGTGGATGATCAAAGGTATTTTCCCAGTCTGTGTGCTCACTAATAATACTCATCTTAGTCTGATTTAGACCTACCTCTGATAAGTGTCATATAGTATCTATTATATACAGTGATTTCATTACACAATACATTACTGACCCATTTTGATCAATTCAGCTGGCCTGTGACCCGTGACCTTTTGGCCGAAATGTTCAATTTGGCCTGCAGCCGAATTTTGTTACCCAATTAGGAAATTTGGCAGGCGCGGAAAATTTGAAAATCTTCCTGATTGGGACGCTTTAGGACCAAAAAAATTTGGCTGGGGAATTAGCATAGAAGAGTTTTCAGCGGCTTGGGAAGGGGGCAATTCCTCCAGTGCACAAAGGGGCTCGAGTGCACACCCCGGTACAACAGGTCTCGCCCCTGCGCAACAGGCCAAAAAGAGGGGAATTCAACAATGGACATCAATGCAAATCGCACAAACAGGCAGCCGGGCTCCAAGGAAGGGGTGACCATCTGCGAGCGCAGTGGGGGGAAAAGCCCGGGACGATATACGTTGGGGGATGACATGAAGAGAGGAAGCAAAATACTCAGGCCTTATATGAAAGAATAAACACATTCTATATTGAATCCACAAGAGGCGCGCAGCACAGCCATGCAACAACAAATACGAACAAAGGATGCGCAATTGTGGGGTGCATGTTCCCTGTTGTCATGTGCTGCGTGTTGCAGGTCCGCGATGGCCCGACACCAGTGCTGAAGCGGACAGGCTGGGTCTTATAAGTTATCTGTGACATTTTGGACGCCCAGTATATAGTTGATGCCCTAGCAGGCGGATCCTGAGAGTTTTTTTTCTCTTTGGATCCTCCCCTGCGAGGACTCTCGTCAGAGCCTCTGGGGTTGCCCCTACACTGATTGTATTTTGAGGGTTCTATGGGCTTAGGCTAGAGTTAGATAGCCTAGAAAGAAAGTTAACCATTTATCTTATGCTTTTGATTTCTCTTATAGTAAATATGTGAAATATATCCAGAGACATGCATAGTAGATTATAGATAAATGCATTTTGTGTTGGAGCTCTGGATATAATTTGATTGTAATATGATATGTCCTCAAAATAAATAACCATATTTGGCTGGCACTAATTGATATGTTCCTTACTGGCAATAATAGTGCCAGTTGGGGAAGATTTATATATCTGACTATCAGTATAAACTAGACACTAGTTAATATACACTGGCAAGCTGGTGATATACACATGGAGAGTGCATGATTTAGGGCTGACATCTAAGTTGCTAGAATAATATATTATGCTGGAGCCACAATAATAATAATATAATTGAATGTTGCTTGAATAAGTAACATGAATTTCTAAGTTAAGAACATTGTCACTCACTATGGAATAGCCCTTGTAAATAACTGATATAACTTGTTCACAGCACTGGGTGCAAGACATCACTTACAGCTTTGTGTCCCAATTAGAATTGGTCACATTTCACAGGTTTTCTTACCACTTTAGGACTTTAACAGCAGTGCACCCTCGAATGGAAGTATGGAGTAAATCAATTGTTAAAGTCAATGCCAAACATGCACATACATTCACACGACATCTGCTTAATATAAGAGTAATATGAGAGGATATTCAGTCTCAAATCAATAAACAACACTATCTCAACATAATTGTAGTGTGATCCCAATTTCCAAGCAGGGCACTTCACTGTGGATGTCAGAGGGATTTAAATGAGCTCTCATTCTAGTGTATTATATAATATTGTTCCTGAACCATATGCTGAAGAATTGAAGATATTAAAGGTTTGATGTACCAAGATAATATAATATTATCATATTATGGAGATATTATGCGATGGTGACATGCTTTTTAGGTGTTTGGCATAATAATATTATGATAGACCAGCACTACATAAGTCAGACACAAATGGTATGCTGTAGTATTTTACTCAGTTCACATGTCATGCGTCACACTTACCATATGTCACACGGTTTTGCTCAAATTTGTGTCCCAAAAAAGCAATTTATGACGTTTCCGGGCGCTTCCAGCGCCAATAACTTCCTAATTAGGCAATAATTCGAATTCAAATTTCGTATCAAATGTCACACCATTTTTCCATTCGAATTGAGTAAAATACTACAGTACACAACACAAACCTGTTGTATTATCCTCCAAGATGTCACATCAGGCTCAATCTGCTTTTATTTTCATCAATGAGCAAATTATTTCTTTGTGTGAAAACCCAAAGTAAAACCTTTTGTTTTTGATCCAAACAACACATTCCAAAAACAGTATTTTTTATTTCCTTTTTAGCAAGTTATTCATAGTTTCATAACAAAGTTTCCTTTTGTGGAAACAATTTGTTTTCAAAAAGTTTCAAAAAAAAACTAATACTTTTTAAGCTCACTTTTGGGAGCCAGATTTATCGCAAACCAATGGCAAACTCCGAAGTGCGTCCGTGTGAAGGTGTTTGACGCCCCTGATACCTGATGCAGCGCCACGTGGCTGATTCCTGTCACGGTCAAAATCACTCTTGCTCTTGACGACCATGGCACCAGAGAGCCCCCGGCTCCCGCCCGACCTGGAGCGGCTCATTTTTCGGCTGGTTGCGTATGAGTATCCTCTCGCAGTCCCGCGGCTCTCGCTCATCGCGTGGCGGGTGAAAGAGTGGTGCGTCGTCATGATATCCATCCGATTTGACACTTATGAGGCCGCAGGATTCAGCCGCTGCTTTATCGCACCCTGATTGTCACGAAGGAGGGCTTCACGATCTCCCCCGACACCGCCGGCTGTATTCCGTTCATCTGGCTGCCCTCCTTCACGCGGTTGGTGTCTACCCAGCAGAGTCGACTCCTAAGCGAGAGCGTCACCGCGCTGTTGATCATGGGCGAGCTATCGCGGGCGGAGACAGCTCGTATCCTCACTGCCTGCCCATCGGTGCAGGAGCTTGTCATCACTGGCGACGTTATGCGGGGCCGGCACTACTACGACTCTAGTAGCGATGAAGAAGATGGGAATGACGAGCCCGTCCCGCTGCTGGTGGAGCTTTCCATGGCCCGACTTCGCCGGCTCCGCGCCAGATTTGACCTGCTCTTTGCTGTCCATGGTCTGCTCTCCGACTCTGTCGCGCCGTCGCTCGCCAATATCACCCACCTCGAACTCTTTCAAGGCGCGCCGTATGCCGAGCCCGCCCCCTGGCGCAAAGTGCTCTCGCTTCCCGCTCTGACACACCTCGCCATCGACCGCGCCCGCGTCTTCAGCTATCCAGAAAACACTCGCCTTACGCTAGAGGTGCTATCCTCTCCGCTCCGCCCATTGCGGGTGCTAGTATTCGTACACTACACCGCGGCACCGCCGGTACTGGACACGCTGAATGAGCTGATCCAGATGTCCGGCTGGGTCTGGTTAAACCGGGCGCTGGGCTACTGGGGTGGGCAGTGGCGGGAAGGCGCCTTGAGGGGTGTGGACTTCTGGGAAGAGGCGGATGAACTCGTCGAAAGCCGGGTGCGTCATTGATGTACGTTTATGATCTTCTTTTAGGACAATTGTCTACTTGAATCTGAAAACATTAAACAGTGTGTTCGTGATCAGAGATGACTGCAGGCCTATCATGATAGTGTTCGTCACGGGCCTAGAATCATTGAAACTTATTCACCATTCTCAGTGCAATCGGACAATATTTATGACAATCTGCTGATACGTCGAACGCCACGTCACCCTGACGTAGCTTCTTGCTCTCGACCACCATGTCCTTTGCAGAGTCTCCTCGTCTTCCGCCCGAGCTGGAGCGCCACATCTTCCGCCTCGCGGCTTTCAACAACGCCGCCTGCGTGCCTGCGCTCATGCTTGCCGCCGCCCGGGTGAAGAATTGGTGCGTCGCTCATGTCATCGCGGGCTATCTTCTAACCAAAGCCACAGGATAGAACCAATCTACTTCTTCACAGTAGTCATTGGATTCTCATCCGTGCTTCCCGTGACCGCCCCCGTATCGCGCCTCGCACCGAAGGCGTTCTTTGCGCTCGTTCAGCGGAAGTCACCAGCGGTCATCGCCAGCCATGTGAAGCGGCTCCGGATTGAGGGCGGCCTCACGTCCAGCGACATTCGGGCTATCCTCGCTGTATGCCCTGGAATCGAAGAGCTCGTGATCGTTCCAGTACCAGACACCCGGCTCTACGGCGCCTTGGCCCTGCTGCAGCCGGGTGTCCTGCGGCGTCTCGCCGGGGACCTCGCCCACTTTTTCGCTCTCAATGATTTGAAAGCCATCAGCGCGCACCCTGCGCTGACAGAGCTCACCCATATCGAACTAGAGTTTCCCAACTCTGTGGCCGACGTGCGCAGCTTCCTCACACAGCTCCTCGCGCTGCCCGCTCTCACATACTTCGCTATGAGCCGGATTTATGTCTCGCTGTTCACGCGTCACGCGCCGCTCCTTGACGCCATGCTCGCGGCACGCGCCGACCCTCATACGGCGCTCGCCTTCGTCGTCTTCGTCGATTATAGCGGCACAATCACGGAGCCGGACCCCCGACTAGAAGCAGACCAGCGCTTCTTGTGGGTGCAAATGCCGGATGCCCCAGTGGCGGAGTGGGCGAGTAGCGCCCTCGGTGGACGGGATGCCCTGTGGGCACGCGTGGAGGCCGCCGCTAGAGACACAAAAGCCGGTCATTGAGGTGCTGCCTACATTTCAATAAATTAATACCGTATCAAGTTCAGATGGTTAGTCTGGCACAGAACAGTTCCGTCTTTTGTAGTAGTAGTGCTATGTAAGCTCAAATACTACTTAAAGGTTTTCTTTTTTTTAAAAAGTTGTAACAATACCTCTTAAAGGGATTTTTATGTATGGATTCTTTGTCTAAATGAAACTTCTAGTCTTTTATCTGTGCAAATAATGATGAAATTCCTTTCTTTATGTAAAAAACTTGAAATAAAACCAATGCCTTTTTGTTCTGAAAAAACCAATTACAAAAACAGTAAATTCCCTGTGTAGAAAGTCTATAATACAGTACATCTGATACAGTGATATCTCACCGAGTACGCAGAGTCCTAGTAACATAAATAAGTATATCATGCAAAACATGTATTTGTAATCATAAATGGACAGCCCTAGATTGCAACAAAAGCATCTTGATTAGTCTCAACCTTCTGCAAAGGCTTTAACAGCATAAATCTACATCAAGTCGATCATTAGAACTATGCGGAAACATCTTTATTTCATTTTCCCGCTACACCCATTGGAGTATGGAACAATGAGGCGGCATTATAAGTACATTTCCGAAACACTGCCTGTTATCCTTCATGTTTCACTCAGAACCAGTCAGTAGTCGATATGACCCTCAGTTAACCATCCTGCGCTCCCACATCCGCCGCCTGAGCGCATCCGCGTCACCCCCAAATTCCAGCTTCACCCTCCCTCTTTCAGCCTGAGCGAGGCGAGGCAGGCGGCCCCGCACATACTCCTCGACGAAGCGTTTGTCCGGCGCCGGTATCGAGTCCGGATGCGCGAACGAGAACTTGTGCGGGTTGGCAAAGGTGAATGAAGCCAGGGCCGGGAATGCCGGGAAGTCGGATGCGGAAAGCAGTGTTTCTTCGAGGCGGGCCCAAGTCTCATTCGGTACAGCAAGGAGATCGCGCCGCCGGATGCCGTGGTCAAGGGTGATTTGTGCCAGGTTAGAGTGCTGCTGGTCGAGCGGGAGAGCGAGGAATGACGCCGTCCACGCGAGGGAGTCGACGAGCTCGGCATCGGGCCCATCGCGAAGGAGCAGCTTGGTCAGATTTGGAAACGATGCGACCGTCAGATGGATGTTCGAGGATGAATTAAGCGGTACAGCTAACAACAACATCAGCGACAATGGAAGGAGGAGAATTTGATCACACACGAGGATCCAAATGTAAGGTCAGTTCCCGCACCGAGCCCATTGCTGCGGAGACAAGTGAACTACGACGATCCTCCTCTGGCGGCCCATAGTCGTCGTGGAGGTAGTAGACATCCAATTCGAGAGTGACCAGCCGATCTAGCGCTTTTCGGGGAAGGAGCCAGCGAGATAGCGGCGTGAGGACCTTCACCTCGCCGGACACACACAAGCTTTGCAGCGACATTGACCACCCTGCGTCCGTTGCCCTTCCAGGAATTTCCACCTCGACATCCTCTGTGGTCCACCCGTTGACGCCTGAATCCACGGTGATGTCGATGCTCTCCAGGCTCTCGCACGAGTCAAGGAGTGTGGCCCAGTACGAAAGTGGATAAAGCCGATCCACCAATAGCTCCAGCTTCTTCAGTCCCTTCACAGCACCCTGCAACGTCTTCCACTCCGCGCTACCCAAATGGCGGAACCCAAATGGATCGCTGTAGGTCTTCAGCGCCGCCACCGCTTCGCACTTGAGTAGCGTCCCCGGGTCTAACGTCACGAAGCTGGTGTTCCTTCCGCCCACTGGCATCATATCCAGCTTGCGTATGTAGGGCAGCACCGCGGGTGACGACTGCACAAGTTCGCGGAAAGCGAAAACGTTGGTGTGCGTGAGCCGAACGGTGTGGAAAAGCGCGTCGCGGACCCATGGCCTAAATGTGGGGTGTAATAGCGCGGCGGTCCGCAGGCTGGAGACGTCCTGCAGGTAGGAGACGATGTGGGCGATGAGTTCATGAGGGAAGGAAGAGAGTGACATGGCAGTTAGTCATTGCCGAGCCCGAGACATGTGTGATGACTCAAAGCTCCCACGTCAGAGCCCTATCACATGCAGGGATTGCACTGGGTTTATTTAGAAATCCCCCCCTCGGAGAAGTACTTAATACTGTAGTAATTGGACCATAGGGTCATCAAATTCGAATATTCTCATGCCCGAGAGGGCCGAAAAATTTTCTTTTGGTTTTCGGCGAATTTTAGCTTGATTTTAACACTATGTTTTTTGACCCAATTACACCTTAAGTATGCAAACTTGTGGTCTAAATTCTAATTGCTACAGTAGGATGAAACAGCTATATCAATGGTAGCTTGTAAATCTTTGGACAAGGCTGTCATTTGTCCACCAGAAAATCTCAAAGCACAACTTCAACAAGTTAAAAAAATAAATGCCATATTGATTTGATAATTTAAGCAGTGACTTTTCCAAAAGGAAAAAATTATAAGATCTGGAGGAAGAACTTGAAGTCCTTGGCATAAATCAAGAAATAGATAAATTTGACATCTATCTCTAACATTTTTTTTTTTTTTTTTTTTTTTTTTGAATCCAGTTTATTTGGCCTTCGCCCTGAGGCATGGTAGTCAGCATCATACTCTATCTATGTACTTGTCCTCGCCGTCGCAATTCAAGTTGTTTCGTTGGTATCTTGCCTTTGGCCCAACATTTGGTCTGTCGGGCGGGCGCGAATAGGTGTGTGGTGGGTATGTAAGGTATAGTAAGTATATAGAGCCGTCTTATGCGGCGTTGCTGTATGTTAGTTTGTCGTGTATGCATGTGGTGAGAGAAAAGGAAGTAAAGTAATCAGCCTACCGTGCTCCGGGGGGGGGACATCCTGGGTCGATTCATGTGCGGCGACGAGGTTCAGCTGTTAGAGGCACAACGCCTGCAGTGAATTACTCAAGTACAATACTGACATAGCTATTACAGTCCGCTGGGCCCCGGGGCACAAAGACATCCTGGGAAACGAGCGTGCCGACCAAGAGGCGAAACCAGCATCGACGACATCCACATCACCCCGAGAACAACTGCCGGAGGAACTCAGAGACCCGCTCCCAATTAGCAAGTTGGCAGTGCGCCAAGACATCAACAAAGACCTGTGCAAGAAGGCGGACAAGCTGTGGAAAGCGTCTATACAGCACCAGCGAACGATGCAATACGACCACACACTCAGTCGTGGGGCATTCATAAAAAACACCACGACGAGCATCCCTTGGAGCCACGCGACGATACTGCTGCAGTTGAGAACTGGCCATTGCACACTAGCAAAACACCTTCACCACATCAACTGAGCCGACTCGCCGATATGCAACGTGGCCCACTTCCTCCTCCACTGCAGCGCACATGACGAAGCATGCAGTCGCCTACAACGAGCAGGAGGACCACTCACAAGAGAAATAAGAAAGCTGCTGGGCACTCCCAAGCTATTCCCCCACCTCTTCAGGTACATCGCGGCCACGGGAAGGTTTCGACCGGTCCACGGCACCATTGCCGACCTCGGGAGCACTGGCAAAGACAAGAGTTCTAGGTGTTCCTGCCCGATAAAGCACAGATGATCTAGAAATGTCTTTTGTGTCATTTAGTGCTGGCCTATTATGATATTATTATGCCAAATACATAATAATACTCTCATAATATGGTCCTCCGCAGTGTAATATATCCATAATATAATATAATAATAATAATGTGAAATATTATATTATGATTTTATTATAATATTTGATCATATGCCAACAAACCTTTGGCATTTTCAACCTCAGTTGTTAGTATATGGTTTAGTACCAATATTATGTAATGCTCTAGAACAGTAGCTTATTCACATCCCTCTATTGGATGATATTTAAAGGGGCTTTTCAGGCACATGTCTGCTGTGAATTACCTTCTTTGGCGATTGTAACCATATTACAATATTGATAGTATGTTATGAGTGTGTACTCATCTTGGTTCAGGTTGAACATCCTCTCACCCTAGTGGTTGATAGTTTAATATATATTATATGTAAGTCTTCTTCTTCAACTGATAGTATTATTGCCAAGTCCCAACAGGTAACAATCAATTGATCACTATGAGCAAGAAGAGCATTCATAGTATGTGAAAAAGAACAGGAGAAGTACTAGTTAGTATACAAGCTGGTTTTGTACAAAGTTTGTGAATTTGGGCAGTGTTGATGATAAGATTCAAAGGGTTTGCCATATTAACCCTTTGCAAGATGATAATGATAACCCTTAGCTTGGACAAGATTTAAGCTAAGACCCTTGTTATGCTTAGTGATTGCATCACTTATGATATCAATACAGTATTGTAGAACTTTCTAAGTTTATTCTTCATACTTCTAGCATACCAGACAATTAAACTGGTGCTTAAAACTGCACCGTGAACTAGGTATCTATTGTATTAAATAACCAAGTATAGCATTAATGGACAGAGAAGGGTACTATTGGATATTCAGAGAGAGTGAGAGGGTTCTGATAGTGATTCCAATACCTGAAATTGGTTTGTAAAAAAAAAAAGTTCCCAAAAAGGAAGTACTCTTATTAAGACACTTAATATCAGGACCCTTAATAAGGTAATTTAGATATTAAGCCCTTAGCTTGGGGGCTGACCCTTATTAAGACGCTTATCAACAACACTGATTTGTACCGGATTAGATTTGGGGCTGACATATAAGTTGGTAAAATAATAGATTATAATATATTATGCTCAAGCCATAATAATATAATATAGAATGATATATAATATAATTGTGATAGTAATAATAATATGGCATAATTGTAAATTGTAATATAATAATGGCCAGCACTTTGGCCGTTTGTCTACTGGTTCCTCCACAAAAGCACATCACAGATAAATTTTGCATTTTTCAAGTTGTCTCTAACCAATAACCTTTCCGAGAGGGAAAGCATAACTGGTCACCATGTACTTCCAACATAGAGCTATGATCAAACAGTCTCAATCTGCATCCTACTCCCACTGCTGTTCGTGTCAAGCACCATTCTATCGGGGAAGAAGACGCGCTGTCCGCGCGGTGTCAACGGCGTCTGGCTGGAGATGACCCCCGCACGCAGGCTACTCGCCAGGTTGAGCTCGTTCTCCTGCGCTGCCGCCTTGCGCAGGTTGATCAGCATCCGTGAAGTCATGATTCCAATCGCCGCGTGGAATGGCCTGTAGTTATACTTAAGAGATCAGAACAACACCAGGCGTAATGGCAGCGTACCCGTAGCTGAACCAAGGGATGTGTGTTACGTTCTGAGGAGAAAAACAGCTGAGTGGAAGGTATACCGACCAAGCCTAACGCACCACGACCATCAGCTAAGGGTATTTCAACAGGTGTATCTACGGGCGGAGCAGGAGAACGCACATTATTGAAAACAAGTAAAACGGACACGCTGCAGTCATTCAATCAGAGTCCGCCCCACACACAAGCAGACGGATAACGCACCCGAAAAAGTAGAGGACATTGTCACGCAACAAAATGGTGTGCAGCGGCAACAGCGCGCGGTACCCTCTGCCCTTCCCTGTCCATTTCTTCTCTCCTGTCGCCGCACCGTCGGCCCACACCAAAGCCCACACGCTCTGCCCCGTCTTCACGAGCGCGAACACGAAGAGCACGCCCTCATGCGCCGTCGCAGGGACCCACTGCACCCATTCAATCCCTGAATGCACTGTCGGGCAGCCGGGGAGCGGGAGGTGGATCGCGTTGGCGATTATAGCGGCGCGGTGGTCGTGATTGTAGATGAGGATCCAGAAGAAGGCAGCGATGGAGCAGAGGAAGAGGAATACGTTGATCGCCGCAATCTGTGATGGTTGTTATTTCTAGGAAAGTGTTGCGTGATAGGCTACACACGCACCCGTCGCGAGCAGTTGTACAACGCGTAGACCCGCAGCTGCATGATGATCTCGACACTCCAGAGGGAAACGGCACCAACAACGCGGATGATGGTGTCCATCGCCACGCATCTTCGCATGCCTCAGAGTCCACACTACGAGAAAACAATAACGGATCCACGTACAAATTATTATTAGTGATCCCCGGTCTTGCGAAGACATGAATCTGTACGACGTCGAAGAGCAATAGCGCAATGCTGCGGACATAGTAAGCCAGTTCTAGGTGTTCCCAGCGACTTGGTTCCTACGTGTAATATCGAATCTGTGGGCCATGAGAGAACGCTGGACCCATGATTGATTCGAGCGCACCCAAAAAAACATAATTTTACTGAAATTAAGGCGCTGCGGCCAGATGTATCGAATCTATCGGGCACGATTAGAAGCACATCCGCAGCTTTGACGCAGCTACGTGCCTCGTCCTCCAAGGTGACGACTACCAGACGCGTCGCTCAACCTCAAGGCATGGAGCGGAGATATGTACGCACGGTAATCATGCAAAACCCAAGTCAGGCCCGCCACTGTGTATGCCTCGTCAGTCCTTCGACGTCGACAATGGACACTGATTGCTCACGGACGACATGCAGGGGAATGAGGTTCCCGCGGTAGAGCGCTGCGAGGTCGGGCTGGCCTGCAGACGCAGCTAAGGAGGACGGTGCTGGCGACGGCGAGGCATAGGACATGGAAGAAGAAGAGAAGGAAGAAAGGCTAAATTGCGCGGGGTTCCGAGATCAGCATCTGTCGAGCCAGATTGACAACGAGCGGCGATCGGTAAATACTCTGTTCGGCGTCTTATTTTTAGGTCTTTTCTATTGCGATCCGCTCTCGGCCGGGGCTATGCTGCGATGGACTCGTAAAATGAGATGAGATTGCGGTTCCTGATAAGATAGCTAACACACTGTTCGCCCATTGGAACACCGAAGATGTGGCTAACCAGACTGGCCGGCATGGGTGGAAAATGCGTTGACCATGCTGAAGTACGTGCCCCAATCATTTGCGCTGAGTGGGGGTGATGAGGGAGAAGGAAGTCCAGAAAATGGAACAGGACATACGCAAGCCCTGGTGGCGCATTCGCCCACACATTCATCGCACCGCCGAAGCCCAAATCCTCTCCCACCGGTCCGACAGGCCCACTGGCGCCGACATCCTCCCACATCGAGTATCCACCTCCCAGTTCGGCGGTATGCATGGGCAGCGTTTCCCCGCCTGTGCCCATGAACTCTCCGGGCGCGCCAACCCAAGCGAATGCCTGATCCGCCCATTCCTGCAGCCCGCCCATTCCCATGTCGAGCGTCGTCGTTTCCGCAGACCAATGTGCCTCGTACGGCACCGCGGCCGGCGCGGGCGCGTACATGGCCTCCAGTGCGGAATACGCGCGCTTACTTCCAACATTGATCGAGGAAGTCGACGCAGAAGCTGACAGGGACGTGGGCGGGGTGGGTGGTGTGCTTGTGAAGGGCGACGGGCTGCCGATCGCCATTACTGGCGGCGCGGTTGGATAGATGAGGGCCGGGTCGGGCGGAAGCTCGGCCGGAAAGTTCATTCCGCCTACACGAGGTTCTGGATTTGGCGCCGGGCTCTCGTGATGACCGGAGGTAAGACTCGTCCTGCCTACACTCTTCTCGCTGGTGCCGGGAGTTGAATTGACACTCGGATTATCGACAGTGCTCGGGCCTGACCGCTGGGCGTTGAGCGGCACTTGACCAACATTCGCCAGCTCGGCGAGGATGTCCCAGAAGAGACCGGCCATCTGCCATCTGCGTACGTGTGAATTCCCCCGCTAGACCTAAAACCGACAACAAGTGGAGTACACACCGTGCTTCACAAACCCGGATGGCCGCCATGATCTTCTTGACCTCATCGACCGCAGTGTTCATATGCGGAGGAAGTCCCGTCCTCTTCACGCTCCACACGTTCAGCAGAAGCACGACGCCGGCCATAGTGAGAGCTGGCTGAGAGAAGATCAAAGTGGGCCAAGATTGTTTTAAAAAAACACGTACCAGCAGATTAACCGCCGGCTGCCCATTTGTCCTCTTGGTCCACACGTCCGCAACATGCGCGCAGCTTCGTGCCGCATTGGTGCAGATTGCGAGGCTCGGTAAGCCGGTTGGTGTACGTGCTATAGAATGCAGTCGTCACGAAACTCAATGATACGAAAAGGTGACACACAGTCGCGCCGTAGCATCGGAATGAACGGTCGGTGAATCGTCATCTGCACATGGTAATAGGCGCAGTACAACGCAACACTCTGCTTGAAGAACAGATGATCCTGGCGTTGAGGGTCCCATCGTACTGGGTGGCAAGTCAGCAGCGGGTACAACATGCGGTGAAGGCGAAAGCGCCGCGCAAGTACTAGTAGAGAGAAAAGCTACGCACAATGCTCCGGGATCTCATCCACCCACTTGTTCAGAGCCGAATCAAGCTCAGCGACTATGTGCTCCTCCCAGCGGTCGTCGTCCGCCCGGAGCATCCCGCTTTTCTTGTCGATTGAGTACTACGTGCTCGTCAGCATTCAAATAATGGATTCTCGGAAACGAAAAACCCACCAGAAGGCGTAGCACGAAACCCAGGATGTTGTTCAGTTTGAGCATGGCGTTGAAGAACGCGACAGAACTCGGCACGTCCTTGGGCTGTCGCCAGGCTTGGGCGGGATCAGATACTTCCCCCGCCCATGCAGAGTCATCCACTGGTGTCGGCAGTTGAAGGTCGAAACTGCGATGGCGTTAGGGTCGCAGCCAAATGAAATGCGCAAAAGATATACGCACTCGTCCCATTGCACACCGCAGGGTCGGCCCAAAGTACAGCTCACAAGCCGATCATAGTATACCAGAGCCCAAAACGCGCGGCGCCACAACTCCGCTTCGACTGAATGTCGCTCAAGTCGATCGCCAGAGTCAGAGGTAGCGTCTGTGTTAGTACTGCCTGGGTATGCCCCGTGCATTTGCCTGCGGTGCGCGCCGACCTCCTCCGCAATGCGCAGCCCGACACCGATGAGCGGCCACATGGCCTGCGTCGCGCACCCCTCCAAGAAGTGAATGGCCAGCTACTGAGATATGAGTCTTAGAACCACGTAGAAGAAACCATGATAATAAGCACTAATATGGACCAAATGAACCATGAAATGAACGAGAGTTGGAGACAGGGAAAGAGGGAGCAAGGGAGAGAAGTAAGGGAAAGAGGGCCACGCACACAATATCGCTGCAAGTCGTATAACCCCGGCGTCTCAAACATAAACTCCAGTTCCGTCGACAGTTGGGAGAAATATTGCCACCCACACGCTAATTGTGCAGTTGTGCCACCGCCAGCTGCATTACTGCCGAGTACCCGCGGGTCCGGCGAGAAGCGCGCGCCAATGGCACAGACTATAAGCACAATTGCGCCAACCTTATCGTCCTCTAAATGGCCGTTGCGAGCAAGCAGGCGGGTGAATGTGGGACGGTGCAGGAGCGGGACATACACGTTGGCGTGCTCGAAGTAGAGGGCGACGAGGTCGGCGAGAAGATCTGGTGGCGGGAAAACGTAGCGTGGCCGAGACAACCCGCGCAACGTCCAGGGTACGGGGCTCCAGTACTCCATTCTCCTCTCCGTCCATCCCTCGCCCAGCCATGTCGCCGGATTACTCGGATCCTTCCCCTTCCCAGCCCTCGATGCCATCTTGAGGTCCATAGCAGTCTTGACAAGCATAGCCCCACTTGATTTCCCCATAAATTGCTCGCGATGGCTACTAATCTTCATGTTGCTGAGCTCTTTTGCTAGTCGCAATTCTTCCGTGACCTCATCGTCCGACCCATCCTCCAAGTTCTCTGCCGCGTTGGCTGCGCGGATAGTCATCGCCGCAAACTCTACTGCAAGGCCAGGCCTCACTTTTGCTCGTGTCGTCGAACCATGTGCCGTGACGCTGGACTCCGCGGACCATCCGGGCTTTGAGGTTTCCGTGAACTGTCAATGTCATGAAATAAGTACGGTGGGTGACAGAGAGAATTATAGCAAACGCACCTGCTTCAGCTTCTCCTCCATTTGTGCCAGCCGCCCCTCTAACACCTCCGTATAGCTTCGTTTCTTCGTGGTGGTCTGCGCTCCGGAGTAAACACACTCCACCCCCGCCTCCGCGCAGAATGAGCACCGTTTCGTCGCGCTTCTGAGCCCGTCGCACGCCCGCCGTTTCTGGCGGCATGAGTCACACGCGCGCTGGATGCGCCGTTTTTTAACAGGGACCGCGGGCAGCGCATTGACCTCGTCTTGGATTGTAGAGTGGTGCTCCATTCAGCAGCGGCACGAGCAGGGAAGCGGGAGTGTCAGGGAAAGGGGATGGCGGGAAGGGAAAAGAAGCGCTTGCTTGCGTAATCTCAGATGGGCCACGTCATCTACGCAAATCATTGATCCGAGACTGGATCCGTGGCAACAGCCTGCCGTCTCTGAACATTCACTGAAGATAAAGTTTTTCGAACGGTGACTCGTGAGGTACCTCGAATTTCGGAGTCCTGTTGCCTGTAGGGTATTAAAGGTTCAGATATCTTTTCTTGGCGTGCACCACAAACATAGCAATGGATGATGGGAAGATGATGGTCATTTGTGCGACGGCGACCCTTAACGTGGGTACTACTCACTGCGGAGTATCCTCGCCACTCGCTCCGGGACCTTGCTGAGGCTTGCCCAAGATGCTGCGTGTATCACACGTGTGCGGGCCTAGGCTCTCTATGACGTCACGCATTGAGTCCCGTGCGATGACGCAGCGCGATTCTTCGAGCAACTTCGCCGGAGTACATAACGGCGCGCTGCTCCACCTCCGCCCGCCCCACGAACGCGCCTTCTCATTCTCTTTTGATTCTCTTCCCCCTTGACACATATAATTGGTGATTGGTGGGTGCCTGGGCCTGGTCTAGACCCCGATCACCAGCTAAATCAGGAGATACTTAGACATGGTCTCGCCGCAACCACCACAGACACCGCCCACACTTGCGCCGTCTGATTTCATGCCCAACGATGGCCAACCGCCCCCGCCGCTCACGGTGCGTGCACCAGTGACCAATCCCGGAGGTGCGTGACTTTTCCCCGATGTCACCGGCGCCACGTCACGCCGTTACCCATTGACAGCGCTTGTTTTTTCTCTTCCACCATCTCCTCCGTTTCCACCCGTGCTGACGCGGTACGCATGTAGAATTACCTTTAGGGCACTCGGGAGTGTTAGAGGACCAGGAGCCAGGTGCGTGGCTGTCCATTATACTGGGAGTAGCTGATTAACCCCAGGCGAGTTTTTAACGCCTTTGCGCCGACTGAGGCGTCGGGATACGCAGGCCTGCAACACCGGTATTCGCCGCCTGAAGCACAGGAGAGCTATTACTCCCCGTACCACCACCACCAGGCCAACTCTGGCTCCCTCCCGTACCAGATGTCTTACCAGCTACCCGTCCAACACACCGGGTTCTATGCCCAGCAGCCGCATATATCTCAAAACTTATATATCCACGCCGCGAGCTACCCACACTTCTTCCCTTCGCCCACGTACCAGGCTTATGCTCATGCCGGGCCTTCCATGGGAGAGCGGACTAGCCCGTGGTGGCCCCAGCAACAGCCATCGCAGTCCTCTCCTCATAACCGCCGCTCACCGCATGCCCCCATTGTCGGTGCTGCTCATGGTACTCCTGCCCTTCCCGTCAGCCAGCCGCATCTTCAGCGCAAATTGTCACAGCGCTCTCCTCAAAAAGTGCCCGACCCGGCACACCAAGAGGGCAGCGGAAAGCAAACGGCGAAACCGCTTGTGCGTAGGGAGTACCACCCGAATCCGCCCGTCCGGCGCTCCGACTGGGTAATGTGGGCGGGTAATGTCCCCAGCGACGCGAAGCACGATGAGCTGTGGCGCTTTTTCACATCACCGTCTCAGCTACCGCCCCCTGCCGATGCAAGCACAGTCAGCCCCGAGTCCACACAATCCTCACCACCACCACTACCGACAACGACAACAACAACCGCAAGCGACGAGAACGACTTGGGCGTGCTATCCATCTTTTTAATTTCTCGATCCAACTGTGCCTTCGTCAACTACGAAACAGAGTCTCAACTTCAGGCGGCGATTGAGCGTTTCGATGGAGTCCGTCTCCGCCCTGCAGACTCACGATGTCCGCGCTTGGTGTGCAAAGTGAGGAAGAAGGACGACGATCTGAATGCGGGGGTTGGCGGACAACGAGGGATGGGAATGCACACGGGGTGGGTGAAAGCAAACAAGGCCAGCCGCAGGGCGTCTGGATCCGGGGGCTTGTCGGCGTTGACAGAAGTGTCCAGGCCAGGACCGACTCCGTTGAGCTCTCGGTCCGGGTCTGGCTCGCATGCGAGCGCCTCGACGGACTCTAGCATGCTGCGAGAGAATTTCCCGCAGCGATATTTTATACTCAAATCGTTAACGAGGGTGAGTGGTCCGTTTATCCCTTCCATACTATACCTAACTTCTCGCAGGACGACCTGGAGCTGAGCATCAAGACCGGACTGTGGGCGACGCAAAAGCATAATGAGGGTGTACTCGACCGGGCGTTCCGGACATCGGAAGACGTATTCCTTATTTTCAGCGTCAACAAGAGCGGCGAGTTCTATGGGTATGCAAAGTGCGCGTTCTTGTTTTGCGTTATAGTCTGTTTCCGTTTGACCACAGAGTTGCAGGATGGCGGGACCGATCAGCCGGTCCAACGGCTCGCCTTCAGAATCGACTCCCTGGACCAGACGCTCCCCAGTTCATCCCGCTAATACCCCGTCCCCGCTCCTAAGCAGCTCGCACTTCGTCGACGAGTCCCCATTACCACTATCTTCCGCCCGCGCATCAAATGTCCAGTCAGCACCCGCCATTCTCGGTCCCAGAGAGCGCGTGTTTAGCGCTGCCTCACCCGCGGTCAAGTACAGTCTCGACCACCATCTCTTCGCCAATCTGCAGTCCCAACCTGCGGTGATCGAGCTTGACGAAACGGCACCGGTCAGGGCGATGCGTTCGCGAGGAACCTCTCGCACCAGCTCCGGGCCGGTACTACCCCTGGCATCCACACCGAGCCCTGCTGGCGGGGATACGGCGCCGCGGCCGGATCGCGTTATCATGCCCGAGAACGCCGATACGAGCTGGGGCAGCGACTTTGCGTTGACGTGGATCTGTACGGCGCGCCTGCCGTTCACGCGCACCCGCATGCTGCGCAACCCGTGGAACCACGACCGCGAGGTGAAGGTGTCGCGGGACGGGACGGAGCTCGAGCCGGGCGTCGGGAAGGCGTTGCTGGAAGAGTGGCAGGCCTATATTGGCAGTACTGGTGTGAACAAATGATTTTCTGTATAATATAATGAAGCTTCCTCGTAGCCATGCGAAGCACAATCGCGTTGTGTCATCACGTCATCAACAGCCTTAGTAGACCAAGCCTAGACGCCTGTCAATGAGTCAGCGGAAGCCTCTTCTCTCGTCGTGTCATCTTGCGCGCTGACTGAGCCAGTGGGCCGCGTTGTGGGAAGATCCGCGCCTTGGCGGGTCTCTGCGAGGCGTTCGGACAGCGACAACGAGTCGCCCACCGGCTTGCAGCGTCGCGCTACTAGTATAAAACGGGCGAACTTCAAGATCGCCGAGACACCATCCGACATGGCTATTCCCAAGACCACACGGCAATACATCGTGCAAACGGTTTGCGCAGCCGCTCTCTATGTTTTTTTCCGCTCATTGCCGTCACGGTCAAGCCCGGGTCTCTTGACGCGCTTAAGCTCGTGGAGGTGGCTATTCCGGCACTCAAAGCAACAGAGGTGCTGGTGAGGACGAAGGCCGTCTCGTTGCAGGTTCATCCCTAATGATAATTCTCGTGCACATCATGATGCTGATTTCCCCTGACAGTTCCGCGACCTCATGGTTGCCCACGGCACCTACCCGCATCAGTGCGTCGCCGTGCTGCGCGTACCTATCTGACACTCTCCAGTCTCCCTCCCAACCTCGTCCCCTGCTCGGACATGGCTGGGGAAGTCATTGCTGTTGGCGTCGAAGTCACGCAATGGAAAACGGGCGACCGCGTCATGGCTAACTTTTTCCTTGACCTGCTCGCACCAGCAGGCATGACGCGCGCGATCAAGGCGACGGCGCTGGGAGGCCAGGTACATGGTGTGCTGACGCAGTGCAGAGCATATCCTGCCCATGTACGTCCCTGAAGTTATGTTGGCTTTTAGAGCGCTGGCTAATGCCTTCGGCAGTCGCTCGTTGCTATTCCGGATCACCTTGCTTTTGAAGAAGCCTCGACGCTGCCGTGCGCGGCCCTCACAGCATACAACGCCCTTGTGGACGGCCTTGATCAAGTAAAGGCTGGCGATACGGTGCTGATCATGGGAACAGGTGGCGTCTCAATGTAAGTGCTCCTTGTCCTTTGACTCCTGGGATTCGAATTCATTCCTCCTTATCCACTGCCCGCAGCTTTGCCCTGCAGTTTTGCGTGGTATCTGGGGCTACAACCATCATCCTGTCATCCTCAGCAAACAAGCTCAATTTCGCTAAAACGCTCGGCGCGACGCACACAATCAACTACTCCGAAACTCCCGCTTGGGATGCAGAGGTGCTGAAACTGACCAACGGCCGCGGGGTGGATCGCGTGCTCGACGTCGTTGGAAACCGCACTTTGGCGCGCTCTATTCGTGTGGTGCGCCTGGGCGGCTGCGTCGACATGATTGGTGCCGTGGGTGGGCAAAGCATATCGCCACCTGATATTGTCGGCCCTGCAATCTGGGGTCAGGTCCGCCTGCGCGGAAGCTATGTCGGGGCGGTCTCGCAGTGAGCTACTGAGTTATGAATGCCGATATACTTACACACGCTAGATTTCATGCGATGAACCGCCTCCTTGCTGCACACCCGGAGCGCACGCGTCCCGTAATTGACAAGGTGTTCTCTTTCGAAGAGGCACATGAGGCATTTGCGTACCTGGAGAGTCAACAGCATGTTGGGAAAGTTGTTATTAGTGTAGGCTAGGCAGATCTTGCAAAACACTAGATGAACATGTACTAAAAAACCTAAAACTCTGAGGAATTTCCAGGAAGCTTGCCATTTGCTCAAAAAGGTGACATTTTTAGTAAACAGAAAGGCATACAGAAAGGTTATATTTTAGATGATCTTTCATGAGCACAATTGAATGAAATAGGTCAGTATTATGATTTCTTATTATGCCATATTATTAATTATTAATTATTATTATTATTATTATTATTATCATTATATTATGCCTAGGACCAGAACAAATATGATATTATTCCATATTATGTTATGATATTATTATATTATTATTGTGGCTCTGGAAGATTTCTACACCCTCAACCCATTTGCGCCCTGCGTAGTGATGGCCAAGTCCGGTTCGGTCCGGTTCTTGGCCATTTTTGGCCGAACGCCGGACTGCCGGTTCGGTTCAAAAGCAGATTTGGCCGAACGTGAACGCCGAACGGCGGTTCGAACCGGCCCCGAACCGGCGTTTTTTGGCCCAAAATGGCTGGACCTGGCCGAACCGAGGGCCAGGTTCGGTTCAGAAACGGCCTTTGCCGAACCTGAACGCCGAACGCGCGTTCAGTCCGGTCCGGTTCGGGTTCGAACCGAAATCCCGAACCGGACCTGGCCATCGCTAGCCCTGCGAGGAACTTGTAAATGGACGATGGAAAATTCGCAAAGAAGACCAGAGCGCGCAAACCCATAGGGTGTCGAGACGCCGCCCACAACGGAGGGGGTGATATCACGGTTCGGGTTGGGCCGCCGGGCCATTTGGGGCCGATCGGGCCCGCGCAGGCCCACACAACCACCATACTCCTCAATGCTCTCCCATTCTTCTAACCCCTTCCCTTCACCCCTGCGGGCCCTACGCAGCGCCCATCCGATCCGCCCTGGGACCTAGCGCCCATCCGATCCATCCCTAATATCTGAGCGTATAAAAACCGTACTTACAGGATGTAGTCGCTAGGCTAATATCATCTATTCTCCGGGCTTAAAACCCATCTTCGTGCTCCTTAGACCCACTCGCAGTCGGACCACCCGACGACCCGATACGGCCCCAGCCCGACGCTGACACTTTACCTGTTTCCGGGAGTCTCTCCAGAGTCACCATCAGGGTTGCTATGCAGTCACTCCATCACCACTCTGGTCACTGGTATATAGTAGTGCACCTGGGCAGCGGGCTCCTTGGCTTGTTCTCTCTAAGACTCTAAGGATTCCCCTCTGCTCAGGACCCATGCCGCAAGGTTGCCCTTGCACCGACACTCAGCGGGGCAAATGGCTGGGATATATTTACTTCGATGTCGGCCAAGCTGCAATTTATTGAATTATGTGAGTGCTCAGTGCTACTAGTAGCTCAGATGGAGGCACATACTGTGTTACCAACACACAAACAAACGGAACTAGGACGACAATGGCGAGTCATAAGTAAGTAGGTATGCTTGGGTGTGATGTGTCGGCAGAACAAAAGATCAAAAATGAACCGTAGCCTTCCGGCCGACGGTAAGCCAAGGGCCAAGGGCCAAGGGCCGGGGGTCGGCTGCCTCCAAGCCCGGGCCCGGCCCTAGACAGGGCTTGGCAGGGCCGCGACATCACTGTGATATTATTAACCCGGTGCTTGACTGTATTAAGTTTCGGGAGCCGCTTGGCACCGACGCGCGCGGCATCAGCAGGAGGCTTCGCGGGCGCCGCCTGTCGCGCGAATCGCAGTTGGCGTGGGTGTGGGCGTCTGCCCCGCTGGCGTGCGGACCCGGCGCGCCGCAGGGGTGGATGGAAGGGCTGAGGCCGAGCTCGCGTGCGTGCAGGAACGGCGTGACCCCCCGCGGATGCACGCATAGCTGCGCGGCTGCCAGTGCCCAGCCGGTCGCCGTCGCGGTCGCGGTGCCAAGCGCTGCCCGACGCGTGACCTCGCGCGTGTAATATACGCGCACCGGGGACCTCGCGAGTATACCCCCCGATCAGACGGGCACCGCCTTGCCTGGGACGTTATATACCGCGCGACAGAGAGGGTGGGCCAACACATGGCGTCGCTCCCGCGCGTCCGCGCCGTCGTCCTCGGCGCCGTCCTGCTCCTCGCGCTCGTCGAACTCGGCCTCAGCTGCGCGCTGCTGCAGGCCACCGCGGGCCTCGAGACGGTGTCGCTCACTCACACGATCCTCGCGCTCGCCGCCGCCGCGTTCACCATCCTCGTCGTCGTGCCGCTGTACGTCCTCGTGCGCCCGTCACATCAAGTTAACACCCTTTTAGCCTGGTCCTCGCGGGCGTCCGGCCCGGCGGGCCCGCGTCGTCCCTCGCCGCGGAGCTCCCGCTCCTGGGGCTGTGCGCCGTCCTGTGGCTCGCGGCGGGCGGCGCGACCGCGCACGCGCTGGGGGACACCGACCTCTGGGCGTACGGCTACACGCCGTACTGCGCGCGCGCGTTCGTCGCCGTGGCGCGCGGCGCGTTTCCGGCCATCTGCGCGCAGACGCGCGCGCTCGCGGCGTTTGCGTTCGTCATCGGCGTGCTGTGTGCGTGACAATTAAGTTGCATTCGTTGTTAGCGGCTGATGGATGGGTAGTGGTCGGCTACTTGGCTATGCGCGTCGCGCTCGCGGTCCGGCGCAAGCAGCCCGTGTGGACGACCTCCGTCGGCGGCCGCGCGGACCGGGCGAAGGCGCAGGGCGGCGGGCCCGGGCCGGCCCTGGCGCAAGCGTGAGCGTGACAGGGACCGTCTTTTGCACGAGGCAGACTTTCGGAGTGCTGGCTGGCGTATTACGAACAGAATATATCGAAGTCCAATCCCCTTTTCTGAGTGTCCATGATCCGAGGCCGGGCAGAGAGATTTCGCTGATTTCTGGGAATCGGCGCGGAATCTGCAGGTGCGCGGCTCTGTGAAAGGTTATCTAGACAATATCTTCATATGTACTTAAGCTAATACCAAGATCTTTGCGCCGCTCAGTCGCCCCCGTCGAGTCCTTCCGAACCAAGGGGGGTTCTGAGGTCAAGATTCGAAACATGGATATAGGGTCAGAAAGTTTTGGGACCCGCTGGACGCATAGAAATGAGGCTTGCCCCAGGCTTCCTAAGTTGTAGACTGGATTGAAGAAATTGATCAACTGGAATCCAGATAAGCCCACTTTCAACAGGTCAGAGATAAAGCACGCACGGTGGTCTTTGGGTCGGAAACCTATATTCGTCATTAAGACACAATCAGCAACCCGAAGAAGTTTGGAAACTCGTCCCTCCAACTTCTTCATGTCTCCCTGCTCAATTTCTACTCCTCCATACTTCAAGCCCCATAGCGCTGCCCTGGCCCTCATATCACCATCACAGATTAATGACAATCCATACCGAAAGTGGTCGAGCTCGATCCCAAAGCTGCCACAACCAAAGTGCAGACTAGCAAGGCAAAGAACGTTGCCTACCCCACTACCAAAGTCCATGAAGAGTGAAGCTGAGTTCAAACCAACTTTGTGAAACATTTCAAAAAGTAGTCTGGGAAGCAACTCTCCATAGGATAAGCTTCCTGTGCCCCTCAATCTGTATGTAAATGGCATGAGGCAGTGGTTGTAATTTTGTTGCAGAATATGGGCAGTAAGTTCCTGGGGAATCTCCACTTGCCAGTTTGGCAGAAGGTAGCCAGAGTGACTCTGGATAACGTCCAGAGATGCCTTGATCTTATTGAACTGAAGGATGAACTGCAGTTCGTTGCGGTCAGTGAGAGCAGCCCAAAGATCTTCCATGATGCTGGGTTCTCTTGGGATGATGGACCGTGGCAGTGGGTGAGAGGGTTGCCTGTGAGTGGATTGTGCAGCTAGGGTTGGCTTTTCAGATGGAACTTGACCAAAAAATTGTTGTTGTTCAGTGGTGAGAAAATCTATTAGAAAAAACTAAGGATAATGAAAGAAGGCCTAAAATAAGACTCACATAGAATTTGGATTCTCAAGGTTGTGAGTAGTTCCACGATGGGGTTGAATATGTCAGGATCAGGATACCAAACTAGTTCCACACTCAAGTTACTCTGTAAGCAAACAATATGATAAAAGTGTATAATCAACACCTTTTAGACTGCGCAGGATGTTCAAGAAGACTTGGAGAAGGGGGACTCTGTTTCGCCCTCTCTTTGTCAGGACCTCATCAAGGCACTTATTGTCAAGATTAACGCCGACTGTCGAGGACGCAAACGAGGTGTGTTCTCTCCAGTTATTCGGTTTGCGCGCCTACCGAAGTCGACCTTCGCGGCCACCACGAAGGCTTTCGGATGAACTACGACAAGCTCGCCGAGCAACATGATCACCATTTCTCCAACAACACTTGTCTTAAATAATAACCACAAGTTAAAACTACAAACTTAAAATTGAGTGTGCTAGCCACGGAGCCAAGACGAGCGGCTCTCTGGTCTCCAAGAGTGTAGAGTAGTTTGATACACTATTCATATATATATTGTTCATAATAAGCAATCACTTTGACAGTTTGACTTGAATTTTGGACGCAGCGTGGCTTCAAGGATTTTGTTTCAAAGCGGAGCTCTCATGATGACATGATTGGTGGGCATTGTAGGCAATCACATAAGCATTCTGTCACAATATCATCCAAGGTAACCCTACCTGAGCTGCAAGGTGTACCCTAGGGTATATCCCAAGGTATACCCTAGGGTAGCACAGAAATATTATATTTCTTCATGTCTATTAGTCCTGACAGAAAGCTAATGTTTTAGTCAAGCTGAAAGGTGTACAGAAAGATACCCTTTCCTTTCCCCTTTTGGGCAATCACAAAGAACATCTTTGTAATTGCCCAAAAGAGGCACAGAAAGACAATCTTTCTGAACGTCTTTGTGTGTCAATAAAAGTTGTTCTTTGTGCAACACAAAAAGGCACATCAAAAGCCCTGATTTTCAATTGGCCTTTTTGCAAAAACACAAAGATCACAATTTGTTGTAGACAGAAAGTTGGACAAAATGGCAGTCTTTTAATTGCTCTTTCATTGTGATGAAAAGAGAGTCTTTCTCTGGTACTTAAAGATGGATAAAAAGAAATCATTTTAGTGTCTATTTTTATTCAGATAAAATATCTTATTTCTTTCAGAAGGAAATATATATTAAAAGGTGATATTTGTGTTCATGTTTCTGAGGGAAAAGAAAGATTTGAATTTACCGTGTGTCCACCATGTTCATCTCTCATTAATTACCTGATACTGGGCCTACAACAGAGTGGGCTATTCAAGCTCATGGGTGTAGGGGCAACCCTAGAGACTCCGACGAAAGTGTAGCAGGGGAGGATCTAAAGAGAAGAAACTCTAAGTTTGCAAAAACACAAAGATCACAATTTGTTGTAGACAGAAAGTTGGACAAAATGGCAGTCTTTTAATTGCTCTTTCATTGTGATGAAAAGAGAGTCTTTCTCTGGTACTTAAAGATGGATAAAAAGAAATCATTTTAGTGTCTATTTTTATTCAGATAAAATATCTTATTTCTTTCAGAAGGAAATATATATTAAAAGGTGATATTTGTGTTCATGTTTCTGAGGGAAAAGAAAGATTTGAATTTACCGTGTGTCCACCATGTTCATCTCTCATTAATTACCTGATACTGGGCCTACAACAGAGTGGGCTATTCAAGCTCATAGGTGTAGGGGCAACCCTAGAGACTCCGACAAAAGTGTAGCAGGGGAGGATCTAAAGAGAAGAAACTCTAAGGGTCCGCCTGCTAGGCGCCAACTATATACTGGTCGTCCGTAACTGCTGACGTAGAGCACAGAAGGCCTGAGCGGTGTCGCAGGCTCTGTCCCAAGGTGATTGGTGATTGTGCAGGGGTTGGAGCGTCCAAGGGGTGCTGGTTGGATGCGCCTCAGATGCACTCGGATGGTCCGAAGGAGGCCTGATTGTGCACAACCTCTTGAAGCATATGTACATCCGGTTCCCCGCTGTCCTGGCCCTGCAGGCGGCATATGTCAGCGACCGAAGTGCTGTTGATGCATATGCCTGTCCATGGTGGTAGTATATGAGCTATTAGCGCATCGGGGCACATGGGCAGGGGACCACTTTGACTGCATGGAAGATGGGGCAGAGGGGGTGGTGACTGGCTGCAGGGTGGTGGGTGGATGGATCTGCCAGGCCCACTACTTCGCTTGCTGAAGATGATATCGGATACCCATCAGTGCATTACACCCAGGGCAGGGTAAAGTATGTGGAGTTCCTTGAGGAATGGATACTGTATTACTTATTTCGATCACCTGTCCGCGTTACACATTACAGGCGGTCGCGGTGTGGTCCTCGTTATGCATTCGGGGCCGGATTGTGATCAAAAACAGCCTTAAAAAGGCAATTTTTTGTTCCGGCGGAGTGAGAGTTGCCTTTTATGGTAGTCCGGACACCTGATCCAGCAGACATCTTGTGTTACGCGTTACATGCCCCGGACACTTGATCGAAATAGGGTAGTAACATGTCACTCTTGACCGCTGGGTTATCTGCACCCCTGTCAGGGGAACCTCCCTTTCGGCCCGGAGACGCGCCCGATTCTGGTCCGATTCCGGTTCCGACTCCGGTCCGGCCCTCCATCTCGTCCGCACAATCACCGATCCGTCAATGCCCTCCCGACGGTCGCCCTGGGACCTCGCCTGCGACGCCGCCCAAGCCTTCTGTGCCCGACAGCGGCAGCTACGGACAAGCAGTATATAGTCAGCTACCTAGCAGGCGGACCCTCAGAGTTTCTTCTCTTTGGATCCTCCCCTGCTAGGTCAGCTTCATTTGTATTCGCTTACCAATGTTCACGCTTTGGATCCTCCCCTGCTAGGACCTTGCTCTCAGGCCTCCGGGGTTGCCCTTACATGTATATTAAAAGGCATATTCGGTTTGGCGCGCAGTGGAGACTTGAGATCGACGTCTCCTAGATAAGGGACACCCCTATCTCTGTTGGTATCGACGACTGACATCATTGGAACGTGGTTTCGGATCATGCTAGAGGATCGAGAGTGCCAAGGGACGGTTAAACGGCGAAAACCTGGAACTTTAAATAGATTTTATTAAAGAGGTAATTAGCTTTGTATTTTTCGTAGGTGGGCAAGGAGGCTCTTACACCACTAAGCAAGCTTGTCCTTGATCAGCTTATCAAGGGCCTTATCAGTTGGAAGTTGGCAACACCACTGGATGAGGTCATTTACTTAAGCTTAGCACTGGTCGAGATGGGACTGCTGCCGGGCTGCCGCACCAGCTGCTTTTTCTCCTCTGTATTGATCTGCTTGGTAAGATCTGCTGCTATTAGCAAGTTTAAAGTTGCAGTTGTTCACTGCTGATATGCGGATCTCCTTTAAAATCTCAGGTTTGTTAAGGGTGGCCCTCTAGAGCCTAGACTTCTGTAACTCTAAATCCTTCACGGTAGCTCGCTAGGTCGTAAGCCCGGTCTCAGCACTGCTAATGGTAGGGTTAGGTGCTACAGTGATGATTGGGGTAGCGTCTTTAGAGATGAATCTATTAAACATCCTATTACCCTTCTTCTAATCGAACTGCCTCTCCCACAGAGCTCCTTCCATTCCTTGTGCAGCATGAGCAAAATAACAAACTCTATTAAAAGCTCGTCGCATCTAGATGTCAGCTTTTAGGCCTGTCTATTGAGCTTGAAAACATTTCGCAGTTGTGGATGATTAGCAATAAACAGTCATTTTCCTTTTATAGGGAGCAGGTTGTTAACATTATTCTCGAGTATGTACTCATAAGCCTGCCAGATCTCAGAAAAGGCATTAGGAAGGTAAAAAGACTTGGGCCTTTTTAACCTTCTCTTTGCTATATATATAAATCATCTCTGCCTCCAATAATAGGTGCACCTGATTAATTATAGTTAATAGTTGTGGCACTTGGCTGTAGCGCATGCTAGTATAGCAGAGCCTATAAGTAACCTTAGT